TTTGTTGTTTGTGATAAAAACATCAGAGTTGCAAAGCAAATAGTCAGTGGTAGAGTTGGGTTGCTGTTAGCCAATCAGAAGTGAGATGTCCAAAATCCTGCTATCTGAAGCTCAGGATTTATGTGGCTCCCTTCTAGTTCCTGAAACAGGTGCAGCTGAACTTTTTTTTTTTCCACAGAGGACCTACAAGGCATTCATAGAGACCACTGCAAATGTATCAAATTATTCCACCTTGAAGCAACATGTGCATGTTTAACAAATTAGCACTTCCTTTGGAAAATATATGGAGTGCTGCAGTGCTGCCTTGTATGAAAGAGGGTTGCAGGTGCAACACTCAGCTATGGCCTTTCATTGTGTATGTTCCATGTTCTCCTCATATGCATGTGTGTATCATTTTTTCTGTCTTGTCCATTTTTTCTCACTAACTCTAAAGTTTCTCCAGGTGTGTGTGAGTGTGTGTTATGGGTATTCTGTCCCCTGCTTCTCCCCTGGTGACTGCTGTTGATCGCCGCCAGCTCTGTGAGCCTGTGCAAGAAGAAGTGATTACAAAACAGAATGAATGAGTGAAATAGGGGACAAGTCACCCAAGTGTGGACTCACAGGCAGGAGGCAAGAAGGTGAAGAGCTAAATTAACAATTAACATCACTAAAAGTAAGGCAAATGGACATTAAATGAATTCATGCAGAAGTAAAACTGAAAAGAGGAGGTAAAACTCAACAGAATCTCTGATATAAAACAAGACATGACCATGAAGCGTCAGACAGATTACAATTTTACCATAAAGTCTAAAATTAGCAGCATCAAGGCAGAAACATGGAACTGCCAAGAATCTGAAATGGTCTGACACAAGCAAACAGAGCCACAGAATGCACATTTAAACAAAATGGCTTACATAAATGGATTCAGTATCTTTTATGTTTTTAAATTAGGAACATTTTTTTATTAATGATGTTTTATAGAAATCATTCAAGGCATTTCAGACATACCATTTATTAGCTCAAGCATAAGAAAACATGAAGGCTTCAAAAGTATTAGTATCAGCACCTCTCTGACAGCATGGTGGGAGTATCTAAAAATGACAGAGTCTTCACTAGTACCATGCAGACGCACACCTATCTGGAATAATCCTGATATTTTGCAAAATAACAAAATGATGAACCTTCCAGACTGGAAAAATAAAGGAATCCTATACCTGGAACACATACATGAAGGACTGGACTTCATCCCATTTAATAGAATAGTCTCCCAATTTGGAATAGATAAGAATAGCTTTTTAGAATACCACCAAATTAAATCTGTAGTAAAACAAAAATTTAAGCTCAATAAAATAGAATTACAAACACCACCAAGGGTATTAGACTCCTATAATCTCAAACCCCCCAAACAACTGTCTAAAGTACATAAGACACTGTCCAAAATAGACGATAGAATAGCAATCTCTATTGAAAAATGGGAGGTGGATCTATCAGTCAGCTTTGACCAGAACTTCTGGTCCCAAACTTGTTTAAAGACTTTTAAAATGATCAGACACTCCAATTTACAATTAATTCAGTACAAAATTCTACACAGAGTACACTATACAGGTCACTGGATGTTCAAGATGGGGTTTGTGTCGTCTGACACCTGTACACACTGCACAAACAACGTTCCTGACAATTACATTCACGTGCTGTGGTCCTGTCCACCTGTCCAGGAATTTTGGGGTAGAGTATGTGAAGACCTGTCAAAGTCTCTGAAATGTCATATCCCAACTTCCCCCTCTCTTTGTTTGCTGGGAAACCTGGACGATGTCCCGATTGAAACACCTTTGGTTCACGTGTGTCACGGCGTGTGGGCGAGGTGAGCGGAGGCAAGGATCCACATGCGGGTGAAGAAGGCAGGCAGGCAGGCAGACAGACAGAAACGTTTAACAAAGGCTTTAATATAAAACACGCTGGACACTGAAACAATGAACCGACAAAACACACAGAACTGAGAGGGTTTAAATACATGAGGGCTGGGAGCTTGGGTGATTGTCACGTTGCGAGGATGGTTTCAACCCAAAATGCAGTTACCCAGGATGACACGAGGCAGGAGTTGATATAAAGTAAAATCCTTTTATTGTAGGATGAAACAAAAATAAATCCAAAAGGCAGGGAGCCAAAATCCAAAAATCCAGAAAAATGAGAACAAAGCTTACTTAGAGCACAAACTGGGAACGGGACAGGAAGCTCACACAGAGCACCAAAACAACGCTGACAAACAACAATGGACCGACACAACACAGAGACAAGACAGGGCTTATATAGACTGGGAGGAGCAATTAGGGAAACAGGAAGCAGGTGTGTGGAGTGAGGCTGGAGGGAAGGCAGGTGACAGCAATTATCTGAATGGGGAAGAGAACCAGTGGAGGGCAGATTAACCTAAAACTATGTAAAACACAAAACTATACCTAAAGACTGAGGGAAGGACTCACACACACACACACACACACACACACACACTAACACACACCTACTCTCATACACACATACACTGAGCTGGGGAAAGGACATGCACACACACACACACTCACAATAACACACACATACACTCACACACAGATACACTGAGCTGGGGAAAGGACACACACACACACACACACACACACACACACACACACACACACACACACACACACACACACACGCACACTAACACACACATACACTCACACACACATACACTGAGCTGGGGAATGACACACACACCAAGCTGGGGACAAAGAGGCTGGAGCTACAACTGGAGGGGCTGGGGATGACCTGAAGGGCTATGAACAGAAGACACATAAATGAGACGCAGACAAAGGACACATGAGGGCGCTATGAGACACAAAAGGGGAATCTAAAGAGGGATGGAGAACATCAGGAGACACATGGGGAAATATGCAGACGCAGACCATGACAGTGATTGGAAAACGAGAGGCAGGTGGGAGCAATTAACAGAGACACATGACTGAACAGAATGGGGAGACAGGACAGGGTGTGACAACGTGGTTCTGACTGCCATATGCATCGCTATGAAAACTATCCCCATGAATTGGCAAATTGAGAAACTCTCTGCATTAACCAGTATGGAAATCTTTTGTTAGATCATATTACACTTGATACAGCCTCTGCTTCCACTTCAAATCAATCTCTCTGGGCTCCTTTGATTGGTTCCATCACATAGTGATGATGGGGGACCGTTGATGTTGTCCTGCGGGATGATGGGGGGGGGGGGGGGGGGGGGGTCTGAGTTTGGAGAATCCGGATGTTCCCTGGAGGTGGTTTCACTGGGGGTGTCTGGGGCTGGGGGGCTGCTGGAGGTGCTTGGGTTGCCTCGGGGGGTGGACTACTAGCGGTTGTGAGTGGGGCCCCTTGGGGGTCTTGGCGGTGGCCATGGGTCACTGCCTGGCAGCTGCATTGCCCCTGAGCAGGTCTGGATGAGGGCTCTGGGTGAGGGCCTGGTGGATCGGGGTGTTGGGGGGGCCGGCCCCGTGTGGGGATCTGGGTGGGGCCTTGGGGGTCGGGCCCTGACATGTATGCTGCCGGGAAGAAGGCGGGAACATGCGGCAGTGCCTAGCCCAGGCTCAGGGGTCTCAGGTAGGCCTTGGCTCCTCTGCTGTTCCATCACAAGGGAGGGGGATGCCCAGGAGGGGGAGGACCTTGGGAGTGAACACATTCAACGGCATTTGGCAGGGGGATTTTTCAGCCTCATCCCGAGTGCCGGTGCCCACTTCCAATTTTAAACTGCACTTAGACACTGAGAGCTGTGGGTGCAAGTGGGGTGGGGTGGTGGCATCAGCTGCGCAGGCCAGACGATGCCCGCACTGCCCGCTCACCACAGCGATGGAATACACCTCATCGACATGCACTAATACTATATTGGAGCAGGCGGACACTTGGCTTCCTGGGGCTGGAGGCTACGAGGGAGATCTGGCCGTCTGGTTGGGGTCTGGGGTGGTGGGTTGCTTTGCGCTGCGTTGGGCGGGGGAGCCTGCTCATCAGCAACCCAGCAGAATGGGTCGAACTCTGGGAACCGATAATGGTTGTACCCCATGTGCAGCAGTACCGGAACCAGAGTGAATAGGGTGTGTACGGGGAGCATAAGTGGGTGTCCGGCGTGCATTTTTGTAAATCTTTGGTTGTATGTGCATGTGTGAGCATGAGGGAGGGAGTGTGTGACTGTGTCTGTGTATGACTGTATATGTCAGGTGGGGCCTTCTCCTGGGACTTCTTTTGATGCTATACATCTTCATCTCCCCTCCCCTTGCCACACCTGGTGAGGAGGGCGGTGCCTTGGTCTGCTTGAGTGTTCGTGGCTCCCGGGTCAGGGGGTTTAAGATTTTTGGGCTCTGCCTGATCAATCTCTGTGGCTGCCTGGTGGGATCTGGGTCCCTGGGTTCTGCTGGGTCCCCGGCGGGGCTGGTTGCCGCTGGGTCCCGGGCTCGGCCGGCTAGGGGGTGGGAGGCTGCGGGCGGGCCTGTGGACTTGCTGCTGAAATCTCCCGGGACTTTGCCGGCTGCTGGTTGTGGCCTCCCCGGGGCGATCCTCTGCGCCTCTCGAGGGGGGCGGGGGGCTTTTCTGGTTGCAGTCTCCTTGGGGTCCCTGTGCTCTGGGGCAGCTCCTGGATCTCTGGGACTTGGAGCTCCCTCCATCTCCTACACATCTTTGGGGGGCAGGTCTGTGGTCCCTCACACTCTCTATTGGACGCTCCTATAGAGAAACCTTACATAAACAAGCGCAGTTACGCACACAGGTGCTCACATGGTGCTCTCATAAGTATGGACCTGGGCACGTTCAACAAATGTCTTAAGGCTGTGGTTGGCACTTAATGCACTGTGATTTATTATTGTGTGATTGTTCAGTAAAACAATGTTGATTTTATATTTCATCATCAAGTTGACGCAGTGATAGCTTGCCCCTGTTGCAGTGTTGTGTATCCCTTTTCTGCAGGTCTAGAAGCAGACTCTTGTTCATCATTGATTGTTTATTGTGTGTGTGTGTGTGTGTGTGTGTGTGTGTGTGTGTGTGTGTGTGTGTGTGTGTGTATGTGTGTGTGCGTGTCTGTGTGTGTGCGCGCATGTGCGTATGCATGTGCCTGCTGTAATAATTGTGTTGCTGCAATCTGACACCTTCCTGTTCACTTTGAACATGTCCTGTAGTGTGCATCAGTAACCCTAGCAGGTCAGCACAAACACACACACACACACACACACACACACACACACACACACACACACACACACACACACACACACACACACACACACACACACACACACACACACACACACAAAACCAGACCAAGTGAGGCATTTGCTGCTGGCTACCAGTCTATGTGGGGCAGGACGGTGGGTTTCTGGGCTGGGTCAGTTTGTGTATTAATAGCACTGAATAGGTGTCACTCTCCCCAGAGCAAAAAGAAACTCTAATTTAACAAAAAAGACAACAGTGAAGGAGAGATAGAGAGAGGATGGGGGTGAGACATCTCTGTTGCATAACTGTGAAATAAGTGATGGTTTCTCGCCTTGGTTTTTGTCTGTTTCCTCACCAGGACTGTTGCCTGACAACACAGAGAGCTCGTCTTAGAAAACAGCGAGAGAAAATGTTTGCTCAGTCAGTTCAAACTTTATAAAGATCAGCATAATTTATTTATACTGAGCTATTCTCTAAAGCTCAGAGTGGTTTTCCCTTTGTGTTTGAGTCTGATCCATCTCTACTCGTTGTATGTGTGCATGTGTGTGTCTGGTGTGTATGTGAGTGTGTTCATGTTGTCTGTATGGTTCTCTGCATGTAAATTTAATCATGGAGGAAGCAGACATGAGACGTGGAGGAGGAACGGATGGAGGGAGAGGAAAGAAATGAGGAGTTTTCTGTTGTTAAAAAAGGGGAAAAAGAGACAATTCCTGCTCCCCTGGTTTCCATGACAACAGTGACATCACTGATGGAGGGTTACCTCTCTCAAGATTTACATGATCTGGGTTTTATTCATAAATAAAAATCACACACCCTGACTGGATTTTTGACATGGTGTTAAGGTGCAGTCACATAGAAGCTGCACATGGAAACCATAACAAAACAGATTATCAGAACAAGCCTCTAGTTCAGTCAGCCCATGGTTACCCTCTGTTACCTGGCAACAGCAACCATGGAAACACGTTGATGCATGAGCCGGCGTTGCTAAGCAAAAGGAGAGGTGAGGAGTGAAATTATGTTATAACTTAATATAACACCTTAAATAAAGAAATCAGCTTTAAATTAGCTATTTTTTAATTAAAAATACAGTTTTTAATCAGTGCTGTAAAATAGATCTAATAAATAAAGAAATATTTAAAGAATGGCTGTACATTAGGAAATTATAAACAAACGTAAGATGCAGTCAGTACCACATGATAAAACTGATGGTAATCTAACTAAACTAAATAAAATAATGTGCAGGAGTCACTTTTTTACTTTCAGGGCAATAAAATGAGTTCTTCCATCACTTTCAAATCTGTTAGCTGCTGAATACAGCTATGAGTTTGTCTTTGTTGAAAATTAATTGTTGAGGTTTGATAAAAGATCACAAAAGGTAACTGTTCTGGTAATACTGATTGATTTATGTCTGATTATTTTCAGGTTTATGAACAACCGTGCTCCTTCTAACAAGAGATATCAGCCCACAGATTATGAGCATGCAGCCAACTGTGCCACGCATGCGGTCAGTGTACACACACACACACACACACACACACACACACACACACACACACACACACACACACACACACACACACACTTTGAGCTACTTAGCCAATAAATGAAAAATGGCCCAGAATAATTAGTTTAAAGTGCATCAACATCTAGTCCCCTTCTACTCTTCAGATGTGGATAATCCCCAGCCTGCTGGGCAGCTCGGTGTTGCACTACCAGTCCGGAGACAAATGGGAGCAGCTGTCAGCCTGGGTGTATGGAGCCGGGCTCAGCTCGCTCTTCATCATCTCCACCCTCTTCCACACTGTGACCTGGAAGAAAAGCCACCTCCGGTACAGAAACACAGTCCTAACGTGTAAAATTGGGTCAACACAAAGTAAAACAACCTCTTTCTTCAGGTCTGTGGAGCAATGTTTCCACATGTGTGACAGGATGGTGATCTACTTCTTCATCGCAGCCTCCTATGCCCCTTGGTAAACAGCCTGCTTAGTGTGTGTGGGTGTGTATACGTTTAGATGGCAGCCCTGTTTATCAGCTGTCCCCCTGATGCTGCTGCAGGCTGAACCTTCGGGAGCTTGGCCCGTGGGCGTCTCACATGCGCTGGTTGGTGTGGGTCATGGCGTCATTTGGAACCACCTACGTCTTCTTCTTCCATGAGAGGTTCATTCCCACTCTGATGCCTTCACTGGCTTGCTTTCCATAACGTGACTAATTAATAATGTTCTTGTTTGGCAAAAACACTGGAAGTTTCTTTCAAAATAACAGAAAACATCTAAACCATAGACATGAATATGTAGACACCCCATTGGGCGCTGGAGAGCATAACAGTGTTGCCGCCATGTTGGATGGGCTCTTCACTCTCCAAACCCAGCAACTCAGGGTGGGCAAATATGCCTGTTTTTTGTGCAACAACCAGCACACTATTAAAAACAGATCACATCATATTGACAAGCCTACCTGTTGGGATTTTATATATTTGTTTTTAATTTAATATTATTATATCTTATATATATATTAACTAGCATATCATACAATATGTCTGATTTTGGGAAAGAACGTAATCAAATGTGTTTTTTAGTTTGGTAAACATCTTCCTCAGTGGAAATAAATGTAGTGGGAGCAAGTGGAGACCGATCCAAGATGGTGGCCCGTTGCTACTCCAGCTCCAGTAGGCAGTACCAGTACATAGGGGGTGTTTCTCAATGTCAAGGCACCTGGCCTTGTGAGGACACTGTCCTTCCTTGGTCAAAGAAAACGGTTAAATGGAACAGACTTGCACCACGTGACCGCGGCTTCCACGATGGTCACGTAAGGTCACGTACACGGGAGATAACATTATATTTTATATGTATTAGTTTCAATATAAACATATAATGAGCTTTTTACTTTTTATATTGCGTAAATATTGTTAAATTAAATATAGAAGTGAGTTACTACCCGCTAGCCACCGAAGCTGCAACTACTACGCAACTAACCAACCATAGCTAACTTCTTTGGATCCAAAAAAAAATATTTTAAATTAGTTAACTTACATTTATACTTGAAATTTGCCCCCGAAGTAGCTGCCGGCTTCTGATCCGCCATCCTTTTGAAAATACTGTGGTGTGTTCTGGGTAATTTTTGACCAAGGCTAGGCTACAAGACACCTCTCATGTATCCTTGCTCAGCTAGCTAAACGGCTAACAAACAGAGAGCACACGCCTCAGTAGAACATGAACATTGGAACATGTCTTGGTGGCTCCTAATGACATATCTCCTAAGCAACGGGGGCGGGGCCAAGACATCAAGGCGAGGGAATCCTTGGCATTGAGAAACACCCTGAGAAACACCCAGGATGTCTATGTATGATGCCAGTGATTTAAATCTTCTTCTTCTTCTTCTTCTTCTTCTTCTTCTTCTTCTTCTTCTTCTTCTTCTTCTTCTTCTTCTTCTTCTTCTTCTTCTTCTTCTTCTTCTTCTTCTTCTTCTTCTTCTTCAGATATAAGTTGATGGAATTGATCTGCTATACAGTGATGGGAGTTTTTCCAGCCCTGGTCATTTTCTCAATGGTGAGGTTTATTTATTACACATTGTTGCTATATATAGGGAGCCTAAGTCACTTCCGCATCATGGGTCCCCAGAAGAACAAAAAAATTAATGCAAGTCAATGAGACTAAAAACGCTATTTTCTAATCCGCATTGCCTTAGACCCTGGATCACACATATGTTGCACTGTAATTTAACTGAAAACTAATGATGGGTGTTTCAACCATGCCAGTCACTTACTTTGAGATTTATTAGCTTGTAAAAGTTCATAATTAGTATGATTACAAACTAGAAATCAGCACGTCACATATGTGACGTCACCACATAATCTCATCTCCCCTAACGTAGTTGCTACTTACCACATGACCAAATTTATGGTGGTTCTTTCCTCCTGTGGGAAGTTTGCTGAACTTATAGCCCTCCGTGTCTGGTTTGATAACGTCACTTTCATGAAGCACATTTGTAGTTCTGGACTTATTTTCACACAAAACCTAAAATAGCATTTCCCCCTGTTCAAAAATAAGCGTGTTCTTGGTATCAAAATGTGTCTTTAAAATTTACGGACAACATATGGGAAATCCATGGTACAAAACAAGCGGAATTAGAAAATAGCATTTTTAACCCCGTTGACTTGCATTCAGTTTTTCGTTCTTCCCGGGACCCATGGTGCGGAAGTGACTTTTTTGGCTCCCTATAGCAACAGTGCCATCAAATGCACTATCGCTCTGTTTTGCAGCCGGAGCAGTCTGGGTTGTGTGAGCTGTTGGTGGGTGGAGCCTGCTACTGTCTCGGTATCGTCTTCTTCAAAAGTGACGGCCTCGTCCCGTTTGCGCATGCCATCTGGCACCTGTTTGTCGCCATGGGAGCAGCCATACATTACTACGCCATCTGGAAATATCTCTATGTGCAGACACCCAATCAGGTCCAGACCTCCAGATGACATCAGTGATGACCTCACGGGAGATAACTCCTGTGATTGAGATACTACAAGGAATTAATTCAAGCTGTGTCCAAATTCAGGGGCTGCCTTAAAGTGGGAGTTCATGGGCTAAACTTCCTTCTCTGTGCACAGTATGATATCACCAATAGGGCACTCAGACATTCATAAAACATTAAAAAGAAATCTAGTTTTAACTGTCAAACAGAAGAAAATCTTGCAAACAATTAATTCACAACACATTAACTCATTCGCTGCCAGCCATTTCCTGATCACTAAAGGCCTTCGCTGCCAGCGTTTCTCACAGTTTTTATTGTTTTTTTAAGAGTGACAGAATGTTGCACGCTAGGATGATGTTGACGCCAAAACAACCAAAACAAAGCGGAGACTCACGTCTTACATCAGGAAGAATTTGCATGTTTCGAGCGTTATCCGTTCTTTCACAATCCGTTGTCAAATTGTGATCGGCAGAAGCTTTTCCAGTTCGTGCCTCACTTTTTTTACAGCAGCGGCCCAAAACGATCTCCTAACACATGGATGTTCTGCTTCCTGATCACGTGACGTGTGACGTATGCGGATGAAGATCGGCTTTAGAGCTGAGATGTTTGGCCTCATGGTGCGGGGACTCGCTCCGATGCCCATACAGTAAAAACATGCAAATGACGACTAGTCATCATTGGCAGTGAATGAGTTAACCTCATATTGGCGTTCATGTTAATTCTGCAAGGTCTCCACGATCTCCTATGCCTATGTTTGATTTTATACTAAATTCATACACAGAGTTATAAATGTACTAATGGAGTATTTTAATTTGTACCAAGAAATGCTCGTCTTCCACTGCCAACTCCCAAACAGGGAATTCCTAACCGTAGTTTAAATTACATGCTTTTATGCACCCTCATTCATGGACACAGTACCAAAGGTCAAACTGATTTAAAAACATTGCAACATAAACAACATGCAGTCTAATTTCTCAAGATTTTCATAAAAGTCAGGGTCATGACCCCAGTGCAGGTTGTAAAACATCAAGGGAAAAAGGTACCTGAGATTTGAACTGTAGATTTTCCCAGAGTTTACTTCACATCATTGTTATATAAAAACTGAGTGTTTTGTTTTCAGGACAGTGAGCATCCCTGCATCTGACATTGATCAAGGAAGCCTTTTCTAGCAGGAAGCCAGTAAAAGATGAGACAGAACGGGCGATGCTTGATCCTTTTTCCTGCTCTGTTCTAGCAGAAAAAAGGTTGTGGTGCAGCAGTCGTCAGCTGTCTCGGGTCTTTGAAAGTGGGATTCTGAGGAAATGTTATGAACAAAAAACATGTCTTTACAGATAACCCTTTGAACTACCTATTTTTGGACAAAATGTAATTTAAGATTAATAGGCTAACAGCTCGAATGAGTGGGACCTAAAGTAGATTTCTTGTGTCATAATATAACTCTAAATTAAAAAAAGAAAAAAAATATATGTATAAATACAGAGATATCACTTTGTAATCTTTTAAAGTAACACTAGACAGTTTCCTTCTCCTCTGCTCTACTGGTTGAAAGTGGAATTACAGCCTGCTGCAGCCGCTAACAAGTTGACACTAACGAGAGCCAACTAATGCTAAAATAAACCACAAAGTAAAAGGATCCCCAATGATGGACAAAAAATATTATTACTTACAAGTCCAGTAGAAAGAAAACCAGGTCGCCATCAGTCCATGATTTTGTAGCCTCCTTCATCTCCCTCAAACTAGTCTAGGCCGCGCCGATGTTCACTTCGGTTTTAGCTCTTTGCTTTGCCTCCAAAGGCATTACTCTCCTACTTTTACTTCCAGGCTTCCATGATGCCAACAGAAAAAACAAAATGCTTCCTTTTCTTCTTCATGTGCTTTTTTTTTTTTTTTTTTTTGGTGATCGGTGAATGGAAAATGCTAACTGCTAGCATTACAGCTAACAGCCATAAAGCATGTAATGAGCACCCCTAAGACACCTACCCATTTCACCAAACCATCTAGTCTAGTCTTTGGTCAGCAGAGGGCTGCAGAGTTTTGTGAAATATGAAACTGGTCAAGTTTCCAAACCAACTATCACTGAGATCAATGTTAAAGCTCTAACAAAGTGTAACAAAACTATCTAGTGTTACTTTAAGTCGCTGTACATTTTACAATATGTGGTTTTTCTGGTTGTCATATTGCAAAATACTTGACCTGGCTCCACTGGAAATGCTACAGCTAGCTGTTGCTAAAGTATTTGTTCTTGCAGAAAACCACACAATTTGTGTAAATGAGCATGTAATGATAAAGTGGCTAATTAAAAATGGTGGTTGTATGAATTGTTGATATGATATGTTTAAGATGGTCCTTGACCCTGTTGTAACCAACCATTAGTCTGTCAATTCGATCAGAGCAAGTTTGTGTTTCTCCAAATTTAGGTTGTTGAAAGACTTTTCTGTGATAGGTAAGGTATAAATTGTTTACATTTTTGATGCAATCCCCGATTTAAAGGGTCTGATTTGCCTCTTTGATGGTGTCTGATACTTGGTAAATCCCAAAAACATCCCCCATCACAGGATGGGAACATTTGAAATAAAAATTAGACATTCACTGATATTCATCATAAATAAAGCTCTAAATATACATCATAAATGAAGTTTTCCATCAAAGATGAAGCATTATGTTGTGATGAATCTGAAGGAAGACAGCTTGTGAACTTGGACACAGCTTTTTCCCATCCTGTTGGCTCATTTAGATTAATGCCACTGTATTTCCAGCAATTAGGCTTCATTCCAATTATCAGGCATTGGAGGTGTCTCCCTCTGTGGTGCACATCCAGATTCAGTATTTACAAGCTGAGTTGAGGACATTGTCTTAATGTCAAGAGGAAGACAATGTTTACAATTAGCTGCCTTGACTGTCATCATTCCATTTAGAATTATCATTACTGACAGAATGTGTTGCATTTTATTTAAGAGCCATGGGTGGTAAATTATTCCAATCCAGAGATCTAGATGGTGGTATTATTGTTATTAGTAGTTCTATCTAGGCTGTATTTGTATGGTTTTTTAATCTGTTTAACACAGAAATGTTCCTAACAGTAGTTTCCAGGACATTTCTGAATTCCAAAAATGTATGTGGTTCAATAAGTGAGGATGTTGTTCATATTTAGAGAATGTATTGATTCACACATAATTTTCTGGTGTTCACATAGTGTTTAAAGTACAGGTACCTAGTGGAAGGTGTTTCAAAGCTACATCGTGGACCACAATCTGATTCTGCACTGCCAAAAGACTGACTTCTACTGCCGAAACTGATAGCACACCACAAAACAATATGTCTGTCAGCCGTAAGGAAACTGAAGCTATAATGTTTTTAAACAATCTGGCCCAGTATTAAGGCATCTCAGGAGTGTGTGTGTTTACTTGTGTGTCCGAGCTGGTGTGTATCCTATACTGTCTTACTTCCATGAATCCAGAAGCTCTGACTGGATTATAGTCAATGTTTACACATGCAGACATGTACCTTGGATACATAGTACAAATGTGTGAGTGTTGGCAAACTGTTTGATGAATGTGACCTGAGTACCAAAAGCTCAAAACGTCCGACATTTAAAGGCATTTGAAAAAAGTTAATATTTATTTATCACGTGTGTTTGTCTCTCAAGACTTTAATTTGGCTTCAAACATTTGTGAAGCTACATTAACAAAGGTAGTTCAGCTGTTTTCATTTTAAATGACCACGAACAATATCTGCTTTTTGAACAAACTCAGTTTAGATAAATGAAGAATAGTTCTGACTGGATGTTTGAGCTAACAGCTATGCTAATGGCTCAACACTAACGGTTTATCTTACTGGCTCAGTGCCAATGGCAGGGCTGCTAACTCTCACGTCACATCTACAACCCCACCCCACCCCAACTTTAGCTTTAGCGACAGGGCAAAACAATCAGCGCCACCCCTCCCCCTGCTCTTACAGACAGAGGTGAAACAGTCCGCCCCCCCCCCCCCCCACACACACACACACACGTATGCACCACCCACCCAAATTTTCAAAAAGTCGGCAGCACTGTGACGCCAATGGCTCAATGCTAATCGACTCAGTGCTAATGTCTCACTGCTAACAGTCACAACAGTGCCAGATACAAACTGGAATTCTGCATCCTACAACAATTATAATTAGCCTTTTAACTGTTTTACATGTTTTGTAGACTCCACTTTAACATCAGTGTCATTTTTGCATTAGACAGTTATTCAAACTTAAATAGTGCGATACTCTGAGTGGACGTGCCCTGTGCTTCACCAGAGTGCTACAGACAGCTGGCTCTTTTGCTCCTTTTTGTTGCAAATACTCACATAGTTCTATTTATTATGCCAAATGCATAAAATGTAACACACTCTTCTCAAAGCATCTAAGAGCTCTACCTCTTTAACATTAGTGCTTTCCTCCAAACTTAGCTAGAGAAGTAGGTAAGTAGCTACTGCAGGTGGCAAGTACCTATTTCACATTTTTATTACTGTTTTGGAAGGATTAAAATAATTATACGCATTATCCTAAGATTAGCAATGCAGTTTATTTTCTAAAATAATGTAGTTTTTAGTAGGGATGCAACGATACCACTTCTTAGACCGATACGATGCCGATACTTGGATCTGAGTACTCGCCGATTACTGATACCAATACTTCTACCACACAAAAAACTCAATGAGTTGGAATACAGGTTTTATTTTCTTCTCTGCTTTTCAACAAGAAAATACTGTGAGGTAGATAACAAATAAAATATATTAATAAAAAATTATCACAAAACTATAGATGAACAGAAATGACAAGTTACTGTGAGGCCACTTTCAGGCAACTGCATTGGTATTGGTTCCTGGTATCGGTTAACTTTACCAACACCGATACTGGTATCGGTATCGGCCCAATACCAATACGGATAGTGGTATTGGTACATTCCTAATTTTTAGAATAGTTAGCAAATTAGCCATTGAAATAGTAAACTGAAAACGTACAGAAGCTTAAAGGTTTCAAGAACTGTGTAAGCTGCTATGACTTTTTAAAATTATAGTTGTTTTAGGAGTGTGCCTCTTTGCTACTGGCACCACCATGACTAGCCTTTAGCTTAACAATCCCATCAGAACAAATCAGTTTCTCCAAGCTGAGGTTGTTCAAAGAGCCATCTATGACAGGTTTGAAACCAACTAGACAATCTCCAGTCAAATGCTTACTTAAAAAAAACTAACATCACATTTAGGACCAGTTTTTGTAAGAAAGGTTTTCCACCAGTTTTACGTGGGAGAAATATTCACAAATCAACCGAACAGAATCAGAACTGTAAGGAGTTTGAGAGAAAAACTGGTTAGAAGTTTCTACTGATCAACATTTGGAACAAAAAACCCCATTGTGATGAACACTGTATTTTCGCATTCAGTGTGCTAGCTGTCGTAGTTCATGCAAACATGGGACGCTCAATATTTACAAGCATCAAAATTAAGCAACATATGACACATATCTGCCACATGACATAAAACCCAGACACAGGAGCACTGAAAACACTAAATCCTACATAAAAATCACTGAACTAAACATTCGTGTTTGTGCATGTTTGTTGAAAGAACAGGTTTCTGTGCAGAAATGACTTCCAATGATGCCTCTCTGCACTTTATTATATATTTATTTTTCTATAATTAGCCTACAAATGTTGCCCTGGGATGGACCTGTGATTTGCCCAGGGTGTCCCCCAGCTCTTCATGACCCTTTCAGGCAGAAGTTATTACAGATGATAAATATTTATGAATTTACAACAAATAAAATCAGATAGTTGCTGCAACATTAGCTTGTTGGATTAAAACAAAGCGATTTCCAACAATCCTTAACGGACTCTGCTTTTATTTAAATAAAAACAAACATCTGTAAGATAAAATAACCTAAAATGTGCAAAAATCTTTATCATGATTCTAAAATCGCAGTCTGAGTGGAAAAGAGGGACGCAGGTCTTTAATATGTAATAAATCTCTTGAGAAGTATATTCTTAAATACAAAACTGCTTCTAAGTATTTGTACTGCTGGTGTTTTTGGATGCATCATATAACAAAGTGTCTACTGCTGTTGCATCATAATCCTTCTAAACAACCCTAAAGAGGCCAGCAGGTTGAGGATTCTGTTGGATTTAGAGGGAATCGCAGAGGTTCTAGGTCCTCTGTGGTTGTGGAGCTGCTGACTCTTTATTCCTGCAAGTGTTTTCTGAATAAGACTGATTATATTAGCCCACATTCATGGTCTGTATAGTTTTCCTTTAGGTTATTGTGTCAGTGGTGCTTTTTGTGCTGTGATGAGCTCATATAATGCCAACAATGCTTTTATCTTTTCTATCCTATTGTAATAAAAATGCTTTTTCATGCACTCGACTCATAAACTCGTTGCTTTATTATGCTTGACGGGTTTTTTTATACTCCAGTGACTCCTGGCCGTAAAACTACATGTTTTTTAATAGTCACAATAAAAAGCATTTGAAGTAAATCTGTATTAGTCACTGCACCAACCTTCTTAAATTTACTGTTAACAAAATAACCTCCAGATTTATTCTCACCATCTGTGCCTGCTTGTCTTTTCCTTTCGTTAGATTAGTTTCCTAGTCTATTTTGATTAATTTTTCAACTTTTAGATGTAAAATAAATAGAATGAACCTTGTATTTGAGAGAAAATGGCAAAAATGCATCACAAAAATATTCAGGAACATCTGACCTGAAAAACAATATTTTCCAAAATTAGAAATAGAAAACACCTGATTTATGTCACTTTGTTGTATAAACTGTGTATTAAATAATATGTTTAAACTGCATTGGGCAGCCGGTTGTTTATTTTGATGACACTAGTGTTGAAGAGGTTTTTAAAGATATTATTGAAGTTTAAATATTTAATTTGGTTGTAATTTTTTCTAACACATAAATTCTTTTCACCCTTTGAATTGGCTTTAAAATTTCACCAAATACAACTTTTACAGAAGTATTTCAGTTGTTTTTATTTTTAAATGATCATGAACAATATTTGGTTTTGGAAGAACCTCAGTTTATATAAATGAAGAATAGCTGGATGTTTGAGCAAACGCCAAAGGCTCAACACTCAACGCTAACAGCGTAACGCTAACGCTAAAGTTGACAATAGGAAAAGATACTTTAAGCAGTTATCCAAATAATAAAGTTAAAATTTAAGGTCCCATTAGTTGTCACACACACTGATGAATGTGTGAAATTTGTTCTTGACTCATCCCTTGGAGGAGCGGTGAGCTGAAAATACAGCCACACTTGGGATCCATTTGGTGGCCCAATCCAACCCTTTAATGCTGAGCGTCAATCTGGGAGGCATTAGGTCCCATTTTTTTAAAATGACCTCCCAGTTTCAGAGGGGACGCTCATACAACTAGGCCGTTGAGATGGAGCTAATAATAATAATGTTTGAAAGCTTCAGAGCAGAGTGGCACTAACATCACATGTTGCTTCCTGTCATTTTAGTGCCAAATCAGCTAAAATTAGCAGGTGTTTTAACCATAAATGTCTTTAAAATGCAGAGATGATGTTTTACTGTTGAGACACTAGTTTATAGCTTGCTCACTACTTTATTTTATGCCACTTTCTGAAAAACAAAAAAACTGCCCCAAATCCACAACAAAAGTAACATTTTAGACATTTCAGCCAAATGCTGTGAAAACAGTTTTTTAAACCATTATAGAATAATCAGTTTGGAAAAGCACAGTGGGATGCAAAAGCTTGGGCAGCCTCATTAATCTTAATGATTTTCCTGTATAAATTGTTGGTTGTCATGATACATTTTTTTCAGTTAAATATATCATTTGGGAGACACACACAGTGAGGTTTGAGAAGTGAAACGAGGTTTATAGGGTTTACAGAAAGTGTGCAATAATTGTTTAAACAAAATTAGGCAGGTGCATAAATTTGATAAATTTATTTTATTGATGCCAAAACCTTTAGAATTAATTATTGGAACTGAAAAGTGGTTTGGTAAGCTCAGTGACCCTTGACCTCCATCACAGGTGAATCCAGTTAAGAGGAAGAGTATTTAATGGGGGGCAGGGGGGTGTTAGTTTCCTCCTCTTTGAATATTCTCTGAAGAGCAGCAACATGGGGTCTCAGAACAACTGTCACATGACATGAAAACAAAGATCGTTCATCATAGTTTAGAGGAAGGATACAGAAAGCTGTCTCAGAGATTTCAGCTTCTGTTTCCACAGTTAGGAACATACTGAGGAAATGGAAGACCACAGGCTCAGTCCAAGTTAAGGCTCCAAGAGTCAGACCAAGAAATATTCAGATAAACAGAAGTGAAGAATGGTGAGAACAGTCAGAGTCAACCCCCAGACCAGCACCAAAGACCTACAACATCATCTTGCTGCAGATGGAGTCACTGTGCCTCGTTCAACTATTGGGTGCACTTAACACAAGGAGATGCTGCATGTGAGTGGTGCAGAGGAAGACTTCTCCTCCCACAGCACGAACAGAGCAGACTGAGGTTTGCTAAAGCACATTTGGACAAGCCAGCTTCATTCTGGAATAAGGTGTTGTAGAGTGATGAAACTAAAACAGAGTTATTTGGGCATAACAAGGGGTGTTATGCATGGAGGAAAAAGAACACAGCATTCCAAGAAAAGTGCAGGGACTGGGAATATTGTTGAAGTTGAGGGACTCATGGATTCCACTCAATATCAGCAGATTCTGGAAACCAATGTCCAGGAATCAGTGACAAAGCTGAAGCTGCACTGTGGCTGGATCTTTCAACAAAACAACAACCCTAAATACTGTTGAAAATCTACTAAGGCATTAATGTTTATGTTTATTTAATTAGCAGACGTTTTTACCCAAAGCGACGTACAATTTATAACCTATAGGGCATGTTGTGATCTGTGGGGGAACCGGAGCACCCGGAGGAAACCCACGCATGCATGGGGAGAACACGCAACTCCACGCAGAAAGGCCGCAGCCGAGTTTCGAACCTGCAACCTTCGTGCTGCGAGGCAACAGTGCTAACAACTGTGCCACCATGCAGCTCTTATGCAACTAAGCATTAATGCAGAGGAACAAGTGCAACGTTCTGGGATGGACATCTCAGACGCCAGACCTGAATATTATTAAAAATCTGTGGTGTGAGTTAAATAGAGCTGTCCATGCTCATCAAACCTGAATGAACCAGAGATGTTTAATAAAGAAGAATGATCCAAAATACCTTCAACCAGGATCCAGACTCTCATTGGAAGCTATAAGAAGCATTTAGAGGCTGTTGTTTCTGCAAAAGAATCATCTACTAAATATTGAGTTGTCTTATTATTATTATTATTTGTGGTGCCCAAATTAATGCACCTGCCTAGTTGTGTTTAAAACAAGTATTGCACACTTTCTGTAAATCCTATTGTTATGGCCACCAGTCTGGCCTCTTCAGGTGCAGGAGCCAGGATCACTCAGCCTGGTGATCAGCCAGACACCGCCCCTCCTCCTCCTCTCCTCCAGGCTGCTGAGGAGCACAGCTGAGCTGAATTTCTCTGACGACCCACACCCGGGATAAAAAGCCTTCAGCAGTCTGGGAGGCAGCAGAGCAGGGGTTCTGCTGTCCTCCAGGCCCAAGTTTGGTTTCAACCACTGTCATTTTGACTTTTATAGTTCTAACTCTGGGTGATCCAAAGGGATCTTTGGTGGATGTCAACTTGGTTGATTCTGTTTTAAGATTAACATCGTAGTTTGCCAACTTTGGGATTTTAAAACACTCTGTGTTTTCAGTGTGTCGGTTTTTATTATCAACGTGTGTTTTCATGTTGATAAGTCGTCTTTTAAATGTTGACCTTTTTGTCTTCGTTTTTGTTTGGCATTATTTTTATAATGCTTTCAATCTGTTTGCACTTGTTTTTAGAATATTTTTATCACAATTAAACCCATTTTAAACCCACTATCCTGTTTCTTATGTTACTCCCTCCTTCACATTTAACACCTCCTGTTGGGGATGTAACACCTATAAACTTTGTTTCACTTAACAAATATTACTGTTTGTGTCTCCTAAATGATATATTTAATGAAGCTTCTAAAAATGTATAAAGCAATAGCATGATTATTAACAAGGCTGCCCAAACTTTTGCATCCCACTGTACAAACTGTAGCTATATCGTGAAAAGAAAAACACAACTAACTGTCTTGTATTAAATGGTTTTTCATTTAAGAAAAAAAAACCAAGAACTTTATGCTTTTTTTAATGATTTTTAAGTCGTAAATGTGATAGAAAATATTTTACTTATCTCTAGACTCATTTCTGTGTATACTAGTTCTGAAAAGTGTTTATTCCCTTTTGTAAAAATAACTAAGACCAATGAAACCTATACATTTGTGCATGTTCAAAATGAGCAGAGGGAAACCTAACATTTAATTCAACCCTTTTTTGAACAATTTTAGGGAAAAAAATAGCTCAGCAACAATAAATATTTTTCAAACCTGTGAAAATCAGTCAAAATCGTAATTGCAGCATTTCTTCTTCATATCTCAGCCATCAACAACCACCCTAAAAAAATTAAAACCACCTATAAATTTTTACTTGAAAATTTCACCAACTCAGAGAAAAAGACCAAAATAAACATTGATCAAACATTACTTAATTGACTTATCAAATAGAACTGTAAGGTACCATATTATGTTATTGAAACTGTTGTTATTTTTCTCCTATTTACTTATTTGATGTAACTTGTTTATGCTGTCTGCTTTCTTTCATTCCACATTCATGTTGGTTATCTTTCATGTTTTACCTCTAATGTCCACCAGGGAGCGATGTTCCTGCACACTTGTGAGTCCGAGCAGGTGTATTGAGGTGATAGCTCGTGTTTAGCTCGTGCGTTTCCGTCGCGGCTCGGCGCTGAGCCGTTGTGGATGTGGGAATGCGGTTTACCCGAGGCTGCTCTGGGCATTGCTGGATACTCGGCGATGTGCGCACGGGAACCGGGGCTCACAGCGGCTGGCTGTCGTTCAAGTTAACGGGGCGGTGGGGTGGGCGTCCAGAACAGCAAGGAACTGGCCAGCAGCGTCTGCGTTCCCCCGTTTTTACCGGGGGTTTTCTACCTTTGTGTGAGGAGGAGGGGTACGGAATGAGAGAGAAGCCAAGGAGGATTCCCCAGCAGCGCTATGGAGCCACGCACTGCAGACGGCGTGAGTACCAACAGACACCCAGAGAGCCCTCAGGGGACTGGGCTCGTCACTGCTGGAATTACTTAACTTTTCCGCGACCTATTTCTTTTTAATCACATTTTTTATTGCAAGGCGTGCCAGGGTAGAGAGAAAAAGGCTAGTTGTCAATTATTGTTTAGACTAAATAATATTAATGTGAACCAAGCTCAGGTTCAGTCATTAAACACACCTGCTGACGGTCAGAGGCCGGGCTGTGGAGCTGCTACAGCCGCGCCTGACGACTCATCAGCGGATTAATTCTTGAGGATTTTCTCCTGCCTTTTGTTGCTACGGCGGTTGCTACTGACGACCACCAGCTACTCTATAGAGTCGTAAACAGACGGACTGACACCGAATAACGGGGAGACGCACAACTTTGGTCTCTTTTTGTTTGTTTTAAAGGCATGATGATAATCTTCCTCCACGCAGAGTTAAACCTGACCTCTGGGTGGACACAAGGACATGGGGTCAGCGTGGCATGGTTACCAAATGTAACACAACCTCCTGGGTGTCAAAAACACAGGAAAAAAACTCCCTCAGTTTCTTTCTTGTGTGTAAACCCAGGAGGAGTTTCCTGGGATTGATTTAACTGCGGCCAAGTAGCCAGATTATTGTGGATTAGCAGGCATTTAAAATAGTCACGTTATCCCAGCAGTCCTTCCAGAGTGTGCGACAAAAACACCTTTTAGTTTGGCCACCAAGTATATTGCAAAGAATTTCTAGAGAAATATTTCAAAAGGGTAACCAGATTAGGGCCAGTGGCGGCTGGTGAAAAATATTTTTGGTGGGGCTGTGCTATTTTTTTTTAAACAAACTTGTGCTTTCTGAGCTTTGTGCACAACTTCACTATTTCGTGAATTAAGCACAGCTCTTTTATTTCCTGTCTTACATCATTGGACAAAGGGATCAATCCACGTGTGTCTGACTATTGGCACACTGCCTTGCGGACCAAGGTTGAAAAATACTGCATTAAATTGCACATAAAATAACATGACCATAAATGGTCCACATCCACATTACTGTTTGTGAAACTAACATACTGGAGAATTTCATCACAATAATATTAAATAAACAAGTATGTACCTGATCTTTTGCATACTGTTGGTGAAGCTCTGGATGACCCCTGTGATGGAGACAGAGTCAATGTTCCTCTTCTGCAACTGGTTGAACAGCATGTCCACATGTGGTATGATCTTGTGACACAATGCCAGCAGAAAGTCGAAATCTTCTTCCTCCAGCATTCTCACAAAGCCTCCTGCCTCTCTCTCAGTGATTGGATCAAAGTCATCCGAGTCTCTGATCATCTGGAAAAATCTGAGGAGGTCATCCTTGTGCTCATACACTGTGTTGACATCTCTCTCTTGGACAAAATGTGCCGGTTCTGATCCACTTCTTCATTGTGTTTCTTCACTGCAAGCCTGTGTCCCTCGTCTCTAGCTGCATGGCAATGTTAGCTCTGCCTAGCATAGCTAGCTTCACCGTGTTGTCCATGTGTGCCCGGGATAACTCATGTTTCTTCACCTTCTCAGAAAAATGTTTCATGTCCGTAACTCCTGACTCAATCCATGCCTCATCTGTCACAGTCGTTTTGAATAACAAACACGGAAAGCAAAATAACGCATTAGCGTGATTGCATCCAGCTAGCCAAGCCTTCCCAGAAGCCTGGTGTGTACAGTTTACCTCTCTCCTCCTCCTGCTGGCTTATCTTTACGTCGGGCTGATCTGGTCCAAGCTCTTTGACATTAAGTTTTTCCACCATAGTTCTCCTCTCGAACGGATACTGGAGAAGAGACCGAACTGAATTCAGTGGCTGCTGAGATCCGGTATCCATGCTGGTTGTATCACTGGCGTCCATCTGCGTCACGACCACGACCGTCACGACCAAAAACGTGCTGGAGTAGTCGAGACTCTCCGAGTTCTACCGAACAGCAACGAAAGCCTTTGGCGGTAGCTCTATTGCCCATCATGCTTCTGAAACAAAGTCGACGCTGATTGGATACATTCCCATTCCTACCGTTTGATTTTCTTGTCAGCAATTGGCGGACTGCTTTCGTGCTGTTTGGGCGATTGAAACACAGCCCACAGCCTTTCTGTCGGCTCCACAGCTCGGCAGAGAGCTTCTATATATATATATATATATATATATATATATATATATGATTTGTTTTTGTTACAAAACACACAATTAACTTAGAAAATGTGATTATTGTTCATTTTATTTATTTATTTTTTAAAATAAAATTAAAAACACTGGGGAAAACTGGGAGGGCGGCACCCTATCGCCCTCTACTGGCCAGCCGCCACTGATTAGGGCCTCTGATAATCTCAAGAGAACCGTTACATTTTAGAGATTATATATAAATACTGCACTATATGAGTTAGGGAATTACACACCTAATTTGTTTTATTATTTTACAGAAGCTCGTTGCATTGTGAGTATTAAAGTAACATTAAGCAGTTTCCTGCTCTTCTGCCCTAGTGGTTGAAATTGGTATTACAACTGTTGTAAACCCTGCTGTGGCTAGTGCTAATAACAAGCTAACACTAACATCAGCCAATATTAAAATAAACCACTAAGTAAAAACATCCACACTGTGGGACAAAACTATTATTGCTTACAAGTCCAGTAGCAACAAAGCCAGGTCACCATCAGTCTGTGATATTTGTAGCCTCCTTTAGCTTCCTCAAACTAGTGTAGGCCACGCTGATGTTCACTCTAGTTTTAGCTCTTTCTTTTGCCTCCAGAGACATTACTATATTATTTTTACTTCCAGGCTCCGCCATGATGCCAACAGAAAAAGCAAAGTTCTTTTTCTTCTTCTTGTGCTTTTTATTGATGATCGGCAAACTGAAAAAGCTAACTGCTAGCATAACAGCTAACAGCCATAAAGCAAGTATAGAGCGCCCCTAGAACACCTACCCGCTCCACAAAATTGTTGAGTACAGCCAGTATCTGGCCAGCAGAGGGGTGCAGATTGGTGTCAAATATGAACGTGGTCAAATTTCTAACTCTACAAGCACTGAGATCAATGTTAAAGCTCTATCTAAAATTAAAAATATATATTTAGTGTTACTTTAAAAATGACATGATCGTAAACAAAGTTACAATTCTTCCAAAGTTTTTCCACAGAGATAAAACCAAAAAGAAAACCCTAGACATCTGTGTCTCCTGGAAGATGTCAGGGCAGCCCAGTCTGGATCTACCCCGGTGTCTCCTACTTGAGGGATGTTTCTGGAAAACATCTAGAACAGTAACCATGGATGCATTTTTCCATGTGGAGGAGCAGCACCACGTTCCCTTAGGACCAATCTCCTCACCTTATCGTTAATGCTGAGCTCGGTGGCCACCCAACAAGGAAGGTTATTTGGATGCTTCCAGCATGTCAGTCACAATCCAAATGTCAGGGCAGGAATGTTGACTGACCTGGAAACTGAGATCTTTGCCTTTTGGATCTGTTTTTCTTTCACCAAGACACACCGGAACAATGACCTCATTAGCAAAAACCTAGGCCGCTAGCAAAGTAGACACTTTCAGGAGGTAATAACAAAAGTTCTTACTGGTCAAAGTTCATGCATAAAACATTTAAGGTGCGGTATGTAAGAATATAGTAAGAATTTAACAGTGAGAAAATCTCATTAGAGTCTAATGTTTCAGTCATCTTGGAAGGAAGGTTATACTGAAACATATTTCATTGGCAGCTAGCAGTTTTTCTCCTTTCAAAACAAAGGAAGGAGGGACGTAACTACTGGTAACCATCAGTGAGTGTGGGGTTGTCATGTCTCCTACGAGCTAATACTACAGCGCCAACAATTGTAATTTGACGACAGCCGGCAAAAAGCTCCAGACTTGTTTAAAATATTTGCAGTAACCAAATTTTACCACAGGATGTAATTCTTTTACTTAGTTTGTACATAATGCACCTTTAATCTTCATGTGAAAGTACACAAACTGCAAACTATTCTACTTGTTCAGAGAAAGGTAGAATGTTTTCATGAATCTTCTGTTGTTCAGATGATCCTCAAAAAATATGAATACGATGCAAAGTCCATTTATTTCAGTAATTAATCGTAGACTGAGAGACCATCTAAAGGCTCAGGAACCCTTTGCAGGTCTTAAGGATTTGTTAGCTGATCAAAGTCTGACACTTTCAGCCTAGAACGTTAAACCTTTTCACAATATTGGTGACAGGGACGGTGTGGCGGATTCGCTATTACTTGAAGAAGTGACTCAAAAGGATATTCTTGTAATTGTCAGAGCATGTAAAACTAAATTCTCATTAGATGGAGATGACCTAGATATGTTTTTAGTTAAAAAAAAACTATTGGTTGTATTGTCGAACCACTCACGTATATATGTAATTTATCATTTAAAACAGGAATATTCCCAAATAAAATGAAGGTGGCTAAGGTGGTTCCTCTTTACAAGTCTGGCAATAAGCATCAATTTACTAACTACAGACCGGTCTCCTTGTTACCTCAGTTTTCAAAGATATTGGAAAAAATTTACAATGACAAGCTGGAAAAATTTGTAGAAAAAAATGGCATTTTATTGGACAGCCAGTATGATTTCAGATCAGGTAGATCTACCGCACAAGCTCAAATGGAATTGGTCGAAGACATATCCACAACGCTTGATCAGAAGAAATATGTTCTGGGAATTTTTATTGATTTGAAGAAAGCCTTTGATACAGTCGATCACAAAATACTTACATCAAAAATGGAGAAGTATGGTATAAGGGAGACAGCTCTTAATTGGCTAAAAAGTTATTTGAGTAACAGAGCTCAGTATGTCCAGTTGGGTTATCACAAGTCTAGCTGTCTCGAAGTTCACTGTGGAGTTCCGCAAGGGTCGGTACTCGGCCCTAAGTTATTTCTTATATATATAAATGATATCAACACAGCTTCAAATTTATTTAAATTTATTGTGTTTGCTGATGATACAAATATTTTGTGTTCAGCAGAAGATATACAGCAACTTGTACAAAAGGTCCAGAAAGAGTTGAGTAAGCTTAAGAATTGGTTTGATAAAAACAAATTGTCGTTAAATGTCAGCAAAACAAAGTTTATGTTATTTGGAAATAAAAGAAATAGTAAAGAGATCCATTTGACTGTTAATGAAATAGCCATTGAAAGAGTGTATGAAATTAGGTTTTTGGGGATATTGATTGATCATAAGCTCTGTTGGAAGCCATACATACAATATGTGTGTTCTAAATTAGCCAGAAGCATTGGGATAATAAATAAAACAAGGTATTCTCTACCACAGAAAGCACTACACATACTTTATTGTACAATGATTCTACCATACTTATCATATTGTGTCGAAGTATGGGGTAATACTTATAAATCTAATTTATTAAAGATTTGTGTTCTCCAAAAAAGAGTGGTAAGGATAATTACTAATTCTGGATATAGAGATCATACAACTCCATTATTCTATAATTCCAGATTACTCAAATTTTTTGACTTAATTCAATTTAAAACTGTCCTAGTACCGTATAGGGCCATGATGGGTGTACTACCGGGTGATTTGCAAAGGATGTTTAAAACTCATGAAGAAGGTAATGAATTGAGATGCGTTAAAAACTTCATTTTTCCATTATACTGAACAACTATGAAAAGTATGTGTGTATCTGTGTGTGGTATCAAACTGTGGAACAAACTTGATGTGACTTTAAAATTATGTAAAAACATTAGATCATTTAAAATGTTGTATAAACAACTTATAATTGACTCATACATAAATATTGATAAAATGGTAATTGGTAGCAAATGTAATATTTTATTTTTGTTGTTTATTGGTTTTGTTTTCCTTTTTCTGTAGATTCATGTGAACAATTGTTTTGTAACTGTATTTTATGTAGCAAAGTGAAGATAGAATGACCTGCATAGAGAAAAAGTTTTTTTTTCTTTCAAATTTGCTAATGTGAGCAAATGTGATTTATTGATGGAATTGGGGCTGGACTAGATAAGCTTTTGCTTCTTCCAGTTCTCTCTCAAATGGTTTTATGTTATTGTATGTTTTGTATCGTTTTCTTCAACAGCATATGTTAATCGTATTCCATATTTTTAAATGTTTTTATGCGCCAGGAATATGGAGGAGTGCTTATGCAATTTGATGTTTTTCAATGGTTTGAGATAAATAAATAAAAGAAAATAAATAAAAATAAATAAATATTCTAGTTGTCTGAGATTTTTAATGTGCAGCTTTCATAAGCTGTAAGTCATAATCATCTCAATTATAACAAATTAAGACTTGAAACGTCTCATATATTGGTTTCACTTTTTTAAGTTAAATTACTGACATAAATGAAACTATTTTTCAACCAGATTCTAATTATTCAAGTTTCAAATGTATTTGTTCAAAGTGCTCGAGATGAAAGACCAAAATCCTAAAACGGACCCAAAGTGCAACAAGTCAGCTCTGACACCTTTAAACAGACAATGTGTAGTTTTTACTATTAATTTCTGGAAATATCCATCAAAAAAAATTTTATGAAATAAATGAAGCCTGGTTGTAGAAAAATATTGGCGGCTTTGTAACACATAACCATAAAAATCAGGTCTAAAATACATGATGGTGGGACTTACCCATCCTTTCTACCGGAGCCGTCAGCAGCACGTTACTGCAGCAGCATGTCTTGCTCGCGTAAACTGCTGCTTGGCCCTTCCCACCAGAGACGCGTAGCAGTAGGGGAGCAGCTGTCACCAACGGAGCACGAAGTCACACGAGTGACTTCGTCAGTAAACACAACAACAAGCAGGAGAAAACTACAACAAGGCTTTTATGTTCTGTCCGTTTTATAATCGCCAATACGGACCTGAGACTGCTAGCTAAGTGATAACTTCTCACGGGGCTGCACAGTTAGTAACTTTTTTTTAAAGTAAAGCATCCGGAAGGCAGTACGTTTCTTTATTCTGAAAATCTCTGGAAGCTTTGCTCCGTTTCCGCGTCCCATTTCCTGTCTTTCTTTCCCTAAAAATGTCGACCTTGACCCGTTTCAGAGGTGTAGCGCGTAGAAAATAGAACCGGCGTGTAAGGGCCGTGACATGCTGCTCCTGAGACGCGGCCGACTCCTGCTGCTGACGGCTTCGGTGGAAAAGGTTCTGTTGACCACAGCGGTTCCTATCAGCAGCTATGACATGCTGCTGACGGCTCCGTCACGGCTCCGGTGGAAAGGAGGGGTAAGTCTCTGGGCGACACCATATTAGATGCAGGGTTTCCCCCAGCGCTTTATAAGCCTGGCGGCTTGCCAGGCTTTGCTTGGCCACCCGTCAGTCTAAGCGTCATGCCCCGCCCCCTCCCCGACCCTACCGTGTCTGCTGACACGAACGGCGCAATGAAACTAGAGCCCTCCATCAGCTGATACTGGTGAGAAACAGCAGCGGAACGTGTGACGACCCCCCCCCCCCCCACACACACACACACACACACACTCCCACCCCCACTAATTTTCTGGGGGAAACCCTGAGATGCCATGTTTCCTTCTACGGGAGCCCATGAGGATAAAATGCATTTACTGATTTGTAACAAATGGTTACAACACTTTTGTCATTCTTAAATGTTGTTGTGTAACACATTTACTTATTCACTTGTTTCCAGTGATGAACGGGAGTCTGCTGTGCTCGTTATTTAGCTAAAGTTTGCACTCCCCAGGGCCTTTTGACCCCAAGGGGCATCCGTTGGTAAGATCTTACTCAAACACAAAAATACTGCTTGCTTGCAACAGTTTAGATATCTACTGCCCCCCTATCGCCAGGAAAAATACACACTGTCACTTTAAATGCATACTTTGAGTTATTGTTTAAAACAATTTTGACCAGAAAATGCCAGAATGTTTTATTTTCTCTTATTTTAGATGTAAGGATCTGTTGCTTTTCCCTCTTGACTTTAAATAATAAACAACTTTAACTCGTTAGTGGACTAATAAGGAAATGTTAGATATTTGGGAATTTAAAATGAAATGTTAAACATTAAACTAGAAATCTTATTGCTTCAAATGAACACAAAATCAAAAGCTGGAAAAAAGTTGTCGTTGCCTTTGGGGGGGGGGGGGGGGGGGGGGAATTAAAGGGTTAAACTGCACTGAAAGTGGGAAATAGGTCTATTTCAGAGGAGAGTAGGGAAACAAGAACTGCATTCCATTTGATAGAAGCTCTGATTTTTAGCCCGGTTATTAGATCAGCTAATATTAGCCACTATTTGAATGACTGGTTGTTGGGTGTGTCTTTGCATAACTAGCCAGTGCCAAATGCAGCAGCACAAAATCAAATGGCTTTCTTATTGGAACTAATCTTGTATTTATCTCTGAAAAGGCACAGGGAAATATTTGATCACAAAAAAGAGAAATTAAATGTAGATTTATTTTTTATTTTTGAGGGGTATCATTTCAGGTCATCCTAAAATTAAATGAACTGAATCAAATTTAAATTACCAGTTTTTCTGATACCTATAGACGAGGGCTGGGCGATATGGCCTAAAATCAATATCACGATATATTGAGGATTTCACCTCGATAACGATAAATGGACGATAACTAAAAGTATGCGCAGAAACAAAAGTTGTCCACTAGAGTGGGCTTTCACGTGTATTATGTTGAGTCCGAGTCACATTTTTACTCGACTCAAGGTGGTACAGCTTCCTAAAGGGACATAAACGTTACTAACCTACACACATCTTTTCATTTTTTACTATCAAATGTATTGACATGGGGAAAATTATCTCTAAGGATCAGAAATTTTGATAACGATAAATTTTCAATTTATTGCCCGGCCCTTCTATAGACTTATAAATGAACCTTTTTTTCTGTGACATTTATTTGACCCACCCATTTCTCATCAGGCCCATCTAAAAGCACGTTTGGCCACGCTGCTGCGTAACATCAGACAGGCGGATTTTGTGCTAAATGAAAACTGAAGGCATGATTTGTCTGTCTCTGTTCCTCCATATTAACTCAGTCCTAAACGCCTCAGATGGTTTCTGCACAGTCACGAATGGCTTCAGTTAGGAAATGTGTGAAGTCGATCTGTTTTTGGTCATTCGTGAAATGAGCTCAGTTGTTGAAAACTGTAATCCTTTTTTTAAAAAACTCAAAGGAAGTCAATATCATGTTACTCTCCTGGGATCTGAGAGGGCAGTTTTTTTTTCCTTCACACAAACTTCAACATCATCTGTTTTTCTCTTTTCTCCCTCTAGCGTGAAAGGTGACAGTGAAATGAAATGCTAACGAACCGACCCTGATCTGTAGACCTTGTGCTGGTGTCCACAGAAGAGAGAGAACACAACAGCATCAAGGTAATATTCCACATCACAAACACACCTTGGTTTAGGTATTTTTAGACTTTACCCAACAGATTTAGAGCAGATTTCTTTAACGCACAGTAATCAGATATTTTGTATTAAGTGTACGATGGTGCTTTGCCTCCGTTATCACTTGTTTTGCATCTGAACTGGTTTTTACTTGCTTGGCAGTTGTGAAGTTTGTGAAACCATCGCCATGTTCTACGGTTCTTCCTCTGGGGCCAGTATGTCCCTGCCGTCCAAGAGCCGGCTAAAACGTCAGAGCAGGACCTTCACACAGGTGCTCACACACACCAAACACAACACATTGTGTTCATCGGTAAAGATACGTTCTAGGTTAATTAAAAGTCAAATGAAAGGAGGAACTTAACTTAAATAAATGAAGTAAAGAAAGACTGACTTTTCATTTGAACCAAAACTTATCTTCTTTGCCGTTTTAGACATAATTTATTGTAATTCACCAGGAAATTTAAAGATTTCTTCTTTAGCCCATGCTCCTCCTCATATCTAAGTTGCATACATATTTTTAATAATCATGTTTGCTGGATCCTGACAAACCAAATTAACTCATTTTAATAAACCAGACTTTGATAACCATTTTGTCTCAGGACAAACAAAGTAAGTCTCTTACTAGTGTTGTACTTCAGATCGGTCGCATCTTGGTACTGAGGGCTTTTTCACTCTGACTTTTCTCGGACAGGACGGGAAACTGTTGCTGATAGGCTGTTTGTCCATGCTTTGCTGATAACAGCTAATTCAAGTTAAAGACCAAGTTCACTGATTATTTCAGGACATTTGCAGTGGTCTCTAGTTAAGCAATATCACACGAGAGGTCGTGCGTTGTTGCTGAATATCAGCACTGGTGTGATTTGGTCGTAGGCACCGGTACTTGTCTTGCAATGTGAAATGCTTGGTCTCAGATTTTGTAAGAAAATAATAAATAAATAATAAAATTTCCCCCCAAAATGCGACTTGTAGTCCAGTGCGACTTATATATGTTTTTTTCTTCTTCATTATACATTTTATGGCTGGTGCGACTTATACTCCTGAGCGACTTATACTCTAGAAAATACGGTATTTTGTAAGCATAGGGACTATTTTCTTTACTGATGTAACATGCTATCATTTATCTCAAGAAGTGCTGCTATGCAGATGCCTTTCTTGCTTTTTCAACATGTAAAATAAAATATCCAATATGTCAACTCACTACGAGCTTTGCTGTAGGGAAGCCAGTGGCATTTAGAGGGCCATATTATGAATCCAATCAGCCTTAGTGACCCCCTAGCTTCATTGCTCATGTCTTTCTAATATATAAACTATGTGTTGACTTTTTATTACTGAAAATTTGAGCTTAATTATACAGGGTTTTGTTATCGTTGATGCTGGCTTTGGCAAAACAACTTTTAATGGAACTGAACCATTTTTAACAAAAACAATTCTCTCGAGGCTCCTCACAACTTAAAATGCTTGCTCTTTTAAAAAAACAAACATCTGTTATTGTAAGCTACCAGATGTTCGTTTTTCAGTTGAATGTCTCCCCATTTTGTTAGATGAGACGAAATCAATGCACTGGATCAGACATCCTAATACGTTTGATGCTTTGGGTGACAACTGAGAATGTTTGTTATGTAAGATGTAGGAGTGATGTTCATCATGGTTGTCTGTTAGGTGTTGTACCGTACCCTGAGCTACAGAGACCGTGTCCCAGCAGAGGCTGGGACCAACACCCGTGGGGATCGGCGCTCAACCACAGAGCCCCCAGAGTGTCCAGAGGATGACCCAGCTGAACTGTCCACCCAGAATTCAGCCCCCGGGGTTCTGAAGATTTTTGGAGATGAAATTTGTGCTGGTGCCAACTACAAGAGCGTCCTGGCCACGCCACGCTCCAGCGCTCAGGAACTTGTAAAAGAGGCGCTGGACCGTTACTCACTCAACAAGGAAGCGGCCCGCTCTTACGTCCTGTGTGATGTGATCGGACGTTTGGAGGTGGGAGGGGGCTGGCGAACCGAGTGCTTGAGAGCGCTGGGGGACAACGAGAAGCCACTGTTGCTCCAGGAGCTGTGGAAGCCCCGAGAGGGACACGCTCGCAGGTTTGAGCTGCGCAGGAGAGCTGAGGTGGAGGAACTCAATGCCAAGGAGAAGGATACTATCACTGCTGGTGAGTAAACACACACACACACACGTTTCAAACACACATGCAGATAAAGTACACTCTTAAACACGCATGGCAGCTAGTCGAATTCGCCTTCATGTCAAACTCAGCAGAAAAGCACTGCTCGTTAGCTCCTCTACAGTCAGTGTGCATGTGTGTGCGTGTGTGCACAAGCGTGTGTGCTGTGATGCAGAATAAAAGCTTTCGTCACAGCTATTGTCTTGTAGAGCGGATTCTGTTCCTGTGTGGTTAGCAGCAATTTTCTATAGAGGTGAAGTGAAGACTGTGCTTTATCACAGTAACACACACACACACACACACACACACACACACACACACACACACACACACGTGCAGATTCACCTTGGCAGTACTCTGAAATGAAAACCTAAATCTGTTTTCCTGTCTAATTTTCTGAGCGGAGCTGATCTCACAAGTGTAGAAGATAACTTCTTATTTCAGTCAAACCCAAATAAAAACAGCTGTTATAACTTTGTCTGCAATGCAGAAATGCACACACACTTCTGTTTAAAGTTTGTCAGTGTGTGTGTCCCTTTTAGAAACTCCCTTAAAGCCTTTATATTTTTTAACGATTCGCTGACAGTATTCGTATTTTACGTGCTTACATGTAAACACCAATTTATCTTTGGAGAAATTTAAGAAACTCCAGGTTTGTTTTGTTTTATTGTTCAGAAAGATGGAGCACTCATGTCTAGTTACATTACACTAACCTTTCTTTTGAAGCATGCCAGGGTGTCCTGGTTGCTATGCCAACTTCTGTGTTAGAGATTCAGGGAAACATCTAGATGGATATAATGGTTCATCTGTCCTGTATTGAATTGGAGCATTAAATTTAAAAAAAACTTGGACCAGACTAACTACAGACATGCAGCTTTTGATCTAAACACTCCTTTCAGAGGAAAATGGATATGTTTTTGTTTCAAGTTAAATTTTTAGAGATGGTAACTGGCCTGTATTTGTATAGCACCTTCTTAAGCCTAGTTTATGCTTCTGCGTCGGTGCGGAGACACACAATGCTAGCAGGCTCACAAAGACGGATGGAGTCGAGCCCACTAAACATCTGTCAAACGAGACAGAACGCAAGCTTGTGACTGGTCAGGACAGTGCTTCCTTTAAATTTGTCAACAGCACCGCCATTTAGTCCTCAAAAACTTAAAGAAGGCGCTGTCTCCTGAGCTACTGCTGTCCCCAAAAACTAGAAAAATGGCCTTTGACAGATGAAAGTTAAAGTTTGCGCACTTGTCTTTTAAACAACCAGGATTACCCCTAAAAAGTATTTATTATAGTCTGAGTTAGGGATGCATGTTTTCCAAAATTTCTTTAACCGGTTATTAACTGCTTCCACACTGTGCTCTTTGCTAACCGTTCCATGTTTGATCACATTTGTTTGGTCATGTGACGAGCTCATTTCTTCTTCTGCGGTTGCCCAGTAAACATGTTGATAGCGGCACTCTTGCGCCCTCTAGTGACATAAAATATATTACACACAAACTCAGCAGAAGTACTTTACTCGGTTACAACATTAACAGCAATTAATCGGTTAACCAGTTAACTGTGTACATCCCTACGCTGAGTGATAATTACACAAACACAATCCACCTAAACTAGTGATGCACCGATGTAAAAATGTTGGGCCGATACCGATATTTGATATTAATATCACAGTGTTATGGCTGATAACCGATATTTGCCGATACCGATATGCTGACATTAATGCTTCTAAAATTACCAGATTTGGATAGAATGAAAATTATTAAAGCTGAATTTACATAATTATGTACAAACACACATTTACGCTTCTGAGATGATTGCAGTCACTGTCACATGACTAAACAAATACACATCACCCCCACTCACCCTCTGAAACTGATAAAAAAATGGAAACAAGATGTTAGTATCGGCACAGTTTTATTTATCGGACCGATACCGATATGTTAAAAAATTACTAACATCGACCAATACCAATATTGATGCCGATATAAGAAGAAGAAAGAAGAAAATATCATTTCTATAGCACCTCTCAAGATAAAAATCACGAGGCGCATCACAAAAACAAAAAATGTAAAAATATAAAAAATAATTTAGAAAATAGTTAAAAATATATTTAAAATGAGCAAAAAAGAGACAATTGTGATTAAATAATTAATGTTAAGAAAGAGAGAGAGTGAATAGGAAAGAGGGAAATCAGTGGATCCTGAGGAAGAGTGGTGAAGAAGGTCATACAAAAGCCAGCTTAAACAAGTGAGTCTTCAGCTTTTTTTAAAGGAGACCACTGAGTCCACTGATCTCAGGCTCAGGGGGAGAGAGTTCCAGAGTCTGGGGGCCACAGCAGCAAATGATCTGTCAACTTTGGTCTTTAGCCTGGTGCTGCACAACCAGTAGGCTTTGATCACTGGACCTCAGGGACCTGCTGGGGGTGTAGGGACTAAGAAGATCACCAATGTAAGATGGTGCTTGTCCATGTAAGGCCCTATAGACCAGAACCAGGATCTTGAAATGAACCCTGAAGTTGACTGGCAGCCAGTGAAGCTGGAGGAGAAGCGGGGTGATGTGGGTGTATTTGGAGGACTTGGTCAGAAGCCGAGCACAGGCATTCTGAACCACCTGTAGACGGTTCAGGGAGGTTCTGCTCAGACATGTGAAAAGAGAGTTACAGTAGTCTAAGCGTGAGGAGATGAAGGTGTGGAGAACTGTCAAGTTCAGAGCGGGACAGAATGGGACTCAGCTTAGCAATGTTCCTGAGATGGAAGAAGGAAGAGCGAACAAGAGAACTGACATGAGAATCCAGGGTGAGAGCTGGGTCAAAGGTCACGCCAAGATTCCTGACGGAAGGTTTGGTGTGAGAACCAAGCTGACCAAGAGAGTCTCTGACTTTGGGAACCAGCTTGTCTGGGGCACAGATGAGGATCTCAGTCTTATCTTCATTCAGCTGAAGAAAGCTTCCACCATCCAGGTTTTAATAGAGTCTAAGCAGGTGTGTAACAGCTGCAGCTTAGACATCTCATGGGGCTTAAGGGAGATGTACAGTTGGATGTCATCTGCATAAAGATGGTAGGAGATTCCTTTGAATGAGCTCAGGATGTGCTGAAGAGGAAGCAGATAGAGGAGGAAGAGCAGAGGCCCCAGCACAGAACCTTGTGGGACACCAGGGGTAAGGGAGGTGGTGGCGGACCTAAACTTGGAGATGACCACAGAAAAGGAGCGCTCAGAGAGATAAGAGGAGAACCACTCCAGAGCAGATCCTGATAGGCCTACCCAGTCTCTCAGCCTCTCCAGTAGCAGGTGATGGTTAACAGTGTCAAAGGCTGCAGTCAGGTCCAGCAGGACCAGAACAGAACAGTCCCCTGCATCACTGTGAGTCAGAAGGTCATTAGAGACCCTAAGAAGAGCTGTTTCAGTAGAATGAGCTCTACGAAAACATGACTGGAAGCTATCATAGATGCTATGTTCATCAAGAGCAGCTGTGAGTTGTTTAGCCACAACCTTTTCCAAGATCTTGGAGATGAATAGAAGTTTAGAGATGGCTCTGAAGCTGCTATGGAGAGAGGCGTCAATTGTTCATCGCTAACCTAAACTAATGATCCACAGCACAAGCTGGAAAAGTTAGTCAATTGATGAGTTAATTGACTTGTTCTGTAGGTGTTTATGTAATGTTCATATGCTGCTTCTAGCTGGGACATTTCTTTAGATGTCTTTAAATGTAAAGTGAAATGTGACTCAGAATAAATATTATCTGTTCAGAATTTCTTCACTTATTGACCAGTGATCAGGCTTTAGGTTAGCAAACTGCTCCAAATCATTACGCATCCTCCACCGTGCTTTAACAGAGGTTTTTGACTTGGTGGATTTATCCATTGGATGCATTTTAAGGTGGATAATTTAGTTTTTTATAGTTAGGTTTTTGTGTCTCTTAAAAAACTGGGATATATTTATGAACTTTCCAAACCCCCCCCCCCCCCCCCCCCCCCCCCCCCCCGTGTATAAATCAGAGTTCAGGTCTACCCCTCTGCTCCACTACCTTTAGTTTTGGAAAGCAGTTGCCTCCTTAGCGTTCCCACATAAACACTTTGTTCTTACTCTGCTGTGATTGTTCCTGGTTGAAAATAGCATCTAGAAAAACTTTCTGTCAGTTTTTTAAACAATACCATAGTGCTGAATCAGCACCTTTAGGAGTTTTTAATGACCTTCTTTTAACTGCTGATTCGGGGAACTTTGTTGTTCTGGTGCTTTTAGACCTGACTGCTGGCTTCAGTGCTGTGGATCACAGTTTCCTCGTTTCTCTGAACTCTGTGTAGGCATTAAAGGCACCGTTCTGCAGGGTCTCAACAGATGATGCAGTCTTACCCCTGCTTTCCACCGGAGCCGTCAGCAGCGCGACTCGCCCGTTTCTCAGGAGCAGCATGTTGCGGCCTTTACGCGCCGGTTCTATTTTCTACGCGCGACGCCTCTGAAACGGGTCAAGTTCGACATTTTTGGGGAGGGAAAGACAGGAAATCGGACGCGGAAACGGAGAGAAGCTCCCGAGATTTTCAGGATAAAGAAACGTACTGCCTTCCGGTTGCTTTACTTAAAAAAACAGTTACTAACTGTGCGGCCCCGTGAGAAGTTATCTCCTAGCCAGCGGTCTCCTTTGTTTTTCAGGTCCGTATTGGCGATAATAAAACGGACAGAACATAAAACACAAACCTTTTGGAGCCATGTTGTAGTTTTCTCCTGCTTGTTGTTGTGTTTACTGATGAAGTCACTCGTGTGACTTTGTGTTCGGTCGGTGACAGCTGCTCCCCTGCTGCTTCGCGTCTCGTGGGAAGGGCCAAGCAGCAGCTTACGCGAGCAAGACGTGCTGCTGCAGTAACGTGCTGCTGACGGCTCAGGTGGAAATTAGTCTGTTTTATTGTTCCTTTTTATTTGCAGCCTCACTTTTGTGGAAGAATCTACCTGTGAAGAATCAGAAATTAGGGATATAGTAGAAGGAACCATAGAACAGAACAATAACGTTTTGTTGTTTGTAGCTATGAAAGCGTGTTTGTTTCTGTCCATGGCTGCGTGTTGCTACACAGTTATGATTTTATTACTGATTTTTAAAGTCTATCCTAAACAGAACAAGAGACACTTTTATACTATCTGCTGGGATTCTGATCTCAGCCAATCAGATGCTCAAGAAAAAGAAGGAGGAGTTTATGTCTCTGCAGTGGAATTATCTGATATGTGCCCTCATAAAAGTAAAGCGAGTTGACGACATCTAGCAGCAGACACGGAGCAGCTTGAAGAATACCTCGTGGAAAAACTAAAAAATCTGAACGAGAATGATGGGAAATGTGGGTTTAGAGGTGGCGAGTGCTTGAGGAGGTGGAGGAGAATGAGGAAAGTTGCGTCTGTTAAAAAGTCTCTAAAATACAAAAACACAATATCAATACAATAGTAAATGCACTATCTTGGACCGGATACGTGACAGGATATGCCCTCTGATGGTTGGGCAGGGAATTGCTTTGCAACACTGCCCAGGAGACAGAGAAGTCCAAAGGCAAAACTTCTTTGTCAAAACGTGTGCGTCTCTCCCTCATGGAGCTGACGTAGAAGCATTAACTAGGCATTAGCATTAGCAACTCCTCCACACAGCAGAACTCCTTCGGGATTGAGTTATTTAATGGTGATAAAACATCCACATTGTAAAGCAAACAAAGTCAGTGGAAGAGTCGCGTTGCTGTTAGCCAATCAGAGGTGAGTTGTCCAAATATCAGGAAATAATACTCCAAATCCTGCCTTCTGAAGCTACTTTCTCCTTCGGCTCAATTATCTTACAGGGCATTCATTCCTACTAGGAGCCACTGCAGATGTATTAAAACATGAGTAAATATGACCATTAGTGTTTCCTCCAGACTTTCAGTGTCATGTTGTTGAAGTGGAACATCAAAGCCCATGGTCCTTTTGGAAACGTTCCTGTTTATTAATGATCATTAAATTTGTTAAAGACAGTCAGAACTGTGTGTTCTTAGTTCAGGCAGAGGTTGTTTCCTTGTGTTTGGAATTAAAGCAACAGTCTGACCACATTTCTTCCAAACATTTAAAAAATCTTGCCTTTTTCTTACAAAAAATCTTTTGGGTGCCTTTTTCATATACACATAAATAGTCTCGTTTTTCCTTATTCATTTTTAAAAGAAAAGAAGAAACAATGTGGATGTTCTGAACATATGGTCAGCTGTGAATTATTGTTGAAACGAGACGTTTACATGAAATAAACTCATTTTGTAATGAGGGTTATACAGAGGACACTGTGATTTGGTTTATAAAGAAAAAATCTCTGTGGCACAAAACCTTTAGTTACAGGGATTAACCCTGATGGTAGTTTCTTGTATAAGTTAAATTAAAGGTGTCAGAGCTGTGATCAGTTTTATCCTGTAAGTTTTCTTTGCTGTTCTCAGATACATTTCAGTTTGTAACACAAATAAAATAGGAACTCTTTGTTTTTAAGGTTGAAAAATGTTAAAATAAAACAACAAAGAATGCTTTCTGTGATAAAACTGTCATTATTATTATTATTATTATTATTATTATTTTCACACTAACCTTTCTCTGTTATTTACAAAAGTTTTTATTTTTGTGTTAACCCTTCTGTCTGTTCCTTTCTGGTTTGGTGTATGTGTGAGCATGCATGCTCATGTGTGAATTGTCTATATTCTCACATACACTATTACAAATGAGATCACATTTTAAAGGTGCTACAGGATTTTTATTATGTTCTCCTTCTCGTCCAAAGGTATGATTAAAGTCATGTTGTCCCAGACTGTGTTGACTCAGCTTTGAGCACCTGTGGTCCTGTTGCATCAATCTGGATGTTCTCAGTGCGGGTTACCACACATGGCACTACTGGTTGCCACGTAACCAGATAGAGAAAATGTATCCCATCAAAGAAAACAATAATGTGCAAATTAAAATAAAAATATAATACCTGGCAAAGTAAAATACTCAAAATGAAGAATTAGTCATTTTAAAAGTCCCCCACTTCATTTTTTGTTTTGTTTGGGGTTTTTATTGATTTTGATATGCGTTGCTTGGACAACGTAAAGTCTTAAAAGTAGATACTGTTCTTAAGGGATCAGCACTATAGTTTAAGCTTTCAGATATTTAAATATTCTGCATCATGATGAGGAGCCCTTTTTTTTTTAGTATAACATGATGGCAAAACGTGAAATTAGTCTTCTACTCCTCATTCCTGCATTAGACGCTGACAGAAAATAGACGGGGAAACTCTTGGATTAGAAAAGCCTTAAAATTTCACGTTATATTGTCAAATTAGCATTCATGGACTCGCCCATCTTGGCTTGCAACGGGGAAGGTTGTTGTTGATTTAGCATCCAGGAGAGAGCAGAGCTTATCTCAACTAGTAGACGCTAACCATTAGCATTAGCAACTCCACCACACGACAGAACTCCTTCAGGTTTGCGTTATTTGTGGGGATAAAACATCCATATCGCAAAGCGTAGTCAGTGGTAGAGTAATGCTGCTGTTAGCCAATCAGAGGTGAGATGTTTGAATATAAGAAAGTAAGACTCCAAAGCCCGCCATCTTCTGCACCGGCTAACTTCTGCTTCCTGAAACAGGAGCGTCAGAGCTTTTTTTTCCCACAGAGATTGACTCACAAAGAATGGATTTATATTAGAAACCACTGCAAAATTTTGAGTTACACCTTTAACTGTGAATCTCCTCCTACTAACTGTTGATGTGTCTCACGCCACACTGCATGTCTGTCCTGTTTTGTGTGGAAGGTGTGTGTGTGCATATGTTCGTGTGTGTTTTGGGTGTTTATCTGTGCTTAGTGTGCGGGGTTGTTTTCTCAGCCCTCCCTTCCTCCTAACCCCTCCCACCCCGCTGTAGGGCCCAGAACCCCTCAATTCTTGGCAGCTCTCATGGGTCGGTCTGGGCTGGGCAAACACAGAAGCTCCCCTCTACGGTCTGGTCGGGTTGTACAGTCCAGCTCTAAAGGTGGGGACTGGCCTCAGGTAGGGTGGCTGTCAGTCATTGTCATGAAGACCACCTCTACCTGCGCCGTCACACCCCCCCCCCCCCCCCCCCCCCCTCCCCATGTGCAAGTGATGTGAGAGTACATCCATGTAAATCATTGCATGGCCTTGGGTCAGGAGGAGTTGCTCCGCCCACTTTTCATGTGGTTCAGTGTTGTCGGCCACCTGAGCTGCTCTATCCTGCACCATCAGCCTCATCTGACTTCTTCACCCAAACCTGGACTTTGTGTTAACTGTTGCTTCCCACTCAGCTCACATATCAACGTTCCTGTTCTTGTGCCACTGAGAAAAAGATTCAGTCATGTGTCAAACATCTATTTAATAAAAATGCATACAGTTAGTTAAAGCACACTTTTTTCTCTTTCTCTCACTTTTTGTTATTCTCCACTTGTTCCTCTTCTTGTCCTTCTCTCTCCTTTTTCTTCCTCCTCATAGATATTAACGCTCAGGCTCGTAAGGTCCAGAGGAACAGGGCAAAGGGGACGCTGACCCTGCCGCGCTCCAGCAACTCATCCTTCAGCCGCAGCCTCAGCGAAACCAGTCTTAACCAGGTGGGCCCTCCTACTGACGCACTGGTAGTGTGATTTGTTATTCACACAACTGATCAAAAGTGTGTGTGTGTGTGTGTGTGTGTGTGTGTGTGTGTGTGTGTGTGTGTGTGTGTGTGTGTGTGTGTGTGTGTGTGTGTGTGTGTGTGTGTGTGTGTGTGTGTGTGTGTGTGTGTGTGTGTGACTCTGCAGCTCGGGGTGGGAGAGGAACCTAAGCGTTATTACTCTACCTTGCCTGGACCTCTGAGGGGTAAAGAACGTGACAGAGCCTCCAGCAGTCGGAGGAAAGAAGAGGGGAGTCAGGGAGGAGGAGGGGGGGTGAGGCACTCTCTGTACCAGTCCCCCCATCTCCTGCTGCTGCAGGGATACAACCGCCAGGTGAGGACAGGGAGGGTGTTCATATGTTGCATCAGAAACCTCTGTTATGGTGACGTTGTGTGTGTGTGTGTGTGTTTCCAGGACTGCCTGGTTTACTTGCTGAACAGAGAGCAGCACACAGTTGGCCAAGAGACTCCATCAGCTCGCCCCAACATCTGCCTCTTCTCCCCCGACATCCTCCCCCTCCACTGCCGCTTACGCCGAGTCCCTGCTCCCCGTCGGCATGCCAACAATACCAACAAGGGAGAGGATCTGGCGGAGAGTCAGCGTTCCTGCGTCGCTGTCGAGCCCATGCTCAACGCCACTGTTCTGGTGAACTTTTCCCGCTGTGAGCGAACCACTACACTGCGACATGGTGACCTTCTCTCATTTGGGGCACATTATATCTTTTTATACAAGGACCCCACTGGCTCCAAGCCCCTGCCTGCTCAAACCTTGGCACGGCTGCGAACGCTGGGGCAGCTGTATGACATGGGGGTGGAGGAGGGAGAGGACGGGGCTCAGACATGCAAAATGTGCGGCTCGCTGCTGAAGGACAGAGCAGCACAGGTGTCAAGTGTTCCCGCTATACGACGCGGCTTCAAACCTCACCTGGTGAAACCTCGTATTATGGGGATTGCATCAAGTGGACCTCCTCCTTTACCAGGAGGGGAAGCTGCAGGAAGAGGAGGAGGAGGGAGTCAGAAAAGGAGACTACAGCTGGAGTTTGAGCAGGCTCATGAAGACCAGCTGCTGAACAGGATTATGTCTCTCATAGAACCTGGAGGTCTGTGCTTAAATTTTTTAAGGTATTCATGTAAACCGTACAGGATGTCAGCTGAGTCTAAGAAGGCTTTAGTGAGAAAAGTCCTCAAAACATCGGCTCTGAGGAAAGTTTTCTTACATTTAGCTTCAGATGAGTCAAGTCTTTCTAAACTCTGAGCTGTAGGATCTACAAAAAATATATAATCTCAAAAGATAAACCAGCTTTCTAAACACCACAGAAAATGGACAAAATATCTGTTCAGTAGTTCTCTCACCTAACGGCACTTTGGCTCGACAACATTCATCTGCAGAACAGAACACGGTGAAAGTTATTCGCTAGATCTTTAGGTTTGTTCCCATTTCTGTAGTGACTTCACTGAAAAATGCCAAAATAATAGTTAAATGAGCATAAAATGCAATAATGGCACCAACAAGTTGATACCCAAAAAGATGTTAATCAAAAAGTCAGCATGAACCCTACTAACGATTCTCTTGGGTTTTTCAAGTTTGTAAAAAGAAAATTTAAATAAATGATAAAACTAAGATATGATATCCGCTGCAGATGGTTTTCTGCTTTAGAATTAATAACGTGTAGGTTCCTCAGTATTTTCAACATCATGTAGATTTATCCCTTGGGTTGTCTTGTTAATTTAGAATGGTTGGGTAACGGACAAAAACACACAAAAATGTCCCTGGAAAAGGTCAAATAAGCGAACTGGACTAAGAAAAACACCCGGTGGCTACAGAATAACTCACAGAGCCTTTGCAAACATGTTAGGCTTCTTTTGTGTTGCATGTTATGTACATTTTCTGTTAACTCAGTTTGTTGTACAGAAGGGAAATTTGTAGATCTGGCATTATTATTTAACCAGATTGAAGAAGCCCGTTTGAGCGTGCATGTGAGTCCCCAGTACAGCAAACTTTCTCCAGCTAATCAGCTGAAAGCACTCCAAGAACAAGGTCTTTGACTCTACCTTCAGAAAAAAGAAAAACTGCATTCTGATTCCAATGTTTACTTGAGTTATGTGTAGAATGTTCTTAACTTAGCCACACCGTTTCTCTTAATGTTGTCTGTAGTTTAAAGCCAGATTTCTTCTTTCTAAGATCACCAGCATCCCTCTCGTCTCTCCATCATCCCAAACTTTGTGTATTTTTATCCTCAGAATTCCAGTTTTCTCCTAATTTTTAAAACTCGAAGCTTTTTTTTGCTAAGCAGCTGTGAAGGTCACAAAAAGCTGCAGAAACCCTGACAGCCGTCTGCAGTACTCCACCCAGTTTCATTTGATTATTTCTTCTTCCAGATATGATTTGTTTTGTGTTAATGTAATCGGAAGAAGCTGTAAACGTGACTGTCTTCTTCAGAGTGATGTCTAAATTGGGTTGATACTGACATTACCGCACGTTTATAGTGAAACTGATCGATTTTTGGCTGTGAGCTGCGAGTATTGATGTACATCCGAGCACGAGTCATAACATTTGTCCTTCTAAACATTTAAACGGGTGTCTTTGTTTAGGAGATGACCACAAGCTGACGCCGGCCTACCTGCTGTGTCTGTGCATACAACACTCCGCCTCGACCTTCCCTCCTGGTAGCTTTGGGAAACTCCTGCTGAAGATTGTCAGAAGAGTCCAAACCATTGCCTGGGTCAGTGTAATCCCACATTAAATACTGTTTAAGGTGATGTCATGAGGGGAGAGACCAGTCAGCCATGTTGGCTCAAATGAATACTTGACTAGGGCGGCGTATCACATGTTTTGTACCAAGTTACACCCATACACACTCCATGCCAGGCTCTAGTTAAACTGTTGTTCCTTCTGTAAGTTTGTTATAAAATGTGTCATTACTTTGGTGAGAAGTGACTTTTATTCAGACATTTATATACTTTGCACATGGTTTTCTTTATTTAGTTTTGCCTCTAATAAGGACTTTTTCTGTTGGGCATTTCCCCCTCTTATTTCATTATTGTCTATTGATTGACTATAGATTATCTACAGTGGGGCAAAAAGTATTTAGCCAGCCACCGATTGTGCAAGCTATCCCACTTAAAATGATGACAGAGGTCAGTAATTTACATCATAGGTACACTTCAACTGTGAGAGACATAATGTGAAAAAAAATCCATGAATTCACATGGCAGGATTTTTAAAGAATTTATTTGTAAATCAGGGTGGAAAATAAGTATTTGGTCAATAACAAAAATTCAACTCAATACTTTGTAACATAAGCTTTGTTGGCAATAACAGGTCAAACAATTACTATAGGTCTTTACCAGGTTTGCACACACAGTAGCTGGTATTTTGGCCCATTCCTCCATGCAGATCTTCTCGAAAGCAGTGATGTTTTGGGGCTGTCGCCGAGCAACACGGACTTTCAACTCCTTCCACAGATTTTCTATGGGGTTGAGGTCTTGCGTGGAGCCCCAGATCAAGGGAGATTATCAGTGGTCTTGTATGTCTTCCATTTTCTGATAATTGCTCCCACAGTTGATTTTTTCACACCAAGCTGCTTGCCTATTGTAGATTCACTCTTCCCAGTCTGGTGCAGGTCTACAATTCTTTTCCTGGTGTCCTTCGAAAACTCTTTGGTCTTGGCCATAGTGGAGTTTGGAATCTGACTGTTTGAGGCTGTGGACAGGTGTCTTTTATACAGATAATGAGTTCAAACAGGTGCCATTAATACAGGTAACGAGTGGAGGACAGAAATGCTTCTTAAAGAAGATGTTACAGGTCTGTGAGAGCCAGAGATTTTCCTTGTTTGAAGTGACCAAATACTTATTTTCCACCCTGATTTACAAATAAATTCTTTAAAAATCCTGCCATGTGAATTCATGGATTTTTTTTTCACATTCTGTCTCTCACAGTTGAAGTGTGCCTATGATGTAAATTACTGACCTCTGTCATCATTTTAAGTGGGAGAACTTGCACAATCGGTGGCTGACTAAATACTTTTTTGCCCCACTGTATATCACTATTGATTGATTCAAGAGTTTACTGAGAAACAATTTTGACTTGTGATTTTTGAACAAAAAAAACAATAGAACAAAAAATGTCCCCTCTGACATAGAATCTTGGTATCTAGAGTCTGATTATCACCGCCCCAAAAGCGGTAATTCCTTCCTTCCTGTTTGAACATCTTTAAGAGTCGAAACTACAACTTGAACGGAGTGACTCAGAGCCATTAGCCTCCATGCAAAATACATGCTTGTTTGTCTAGGGCCACATCCCACAATGCATTGTGACATGGCGTCACAATCTATTTTTAGCTACTGTAGAAAACTCTTGAGATAAAATAAATTTACATCCAAGCTAAAATGTTTGTGACAGCGCAGAGACCACACCAGCACCTCCTTTATACCACCACCATGTGATCTTTCGTGAAAAACACATGATCGCACCACATTACTGCCACAGGCTGACCACTTATGAGGGTGATGTTATGTGAAGTGCCTTGAGACGACTCTTGTCGTGATTGGGCGCTATATAAATAAAATTGAATTGAATTTAATTTAATTTAATTGAACTTATGGATGACCAAAGGCCCCCTGATGCTGCCTCTGCGGTAAAGTGGCGCCATTGAGAATTTTTCATGGGATTTTGGGGTACGACCTACAACCCCTGTGTTCCTCATGTCATGGATGCACAGCCTTCGTAGCCTTCCAAGTTTTCCACAGGAGTGTAAAAATACATAAATCATGGTCATCAATCCAAAAATTGATAAATAACTATCAAGCCCACCATTTTGCACCTGCACATCACTAAACATGTTAAACGAAGAAGATAGCGGTTTTATAAATGATAGAAGAATTCTCTCTAAAGGTTAATGAAGGCCTCACAGAGAGCAGTCCACCTACACAGATCCTAAAAGTTTAATGGGAGCCTAATTGGTGTGTGTGTGTGTGTGTGCGTGCGTGCATGCGCGTGTGTGTGTGTGTGCGCGCGCCTTGCAGGAGAAGACAAAGGAGCTGGCTCAGAAGCAAGCTCAGCAGTGAGTATCACTTTCTAACTCGTGCTTGAAAGATAGTCAGCATCTGCATCCAAGTGTGTAGGGTTGGGTGTGTTTATTGTGTCTGCCTTTACTTTTTAACGTGTCACCTTCTCTGTGTGTGTGTGTGTGTGTGTGTGTGTGTGCGCGCGCGCGTGCGCGTGCGTGTGTGTGTGTTCATGTAGTCAAGACCCAGCCTCCCTGTCTCTTCTTAGCATCTCAGACCTGATCCCAGACTTACAGACTGTCTTCTTCTGGATGTCCAACTCCATCGAGATCCTCTACTTTATCCAGCAAAGAGCACCAGCCTACACACACAGCATAGAGACCCTACAAGGTACACACACACACACACACGTCTGAATGATAAGTGTAGAAACAACATGGCTGAAGAGTCATTCCTCATGCTGACATACGACAGATATTGTCACAACTTTAGGCTTTATTTTCCTTTTCATCATAAACCTTTAAAATCTGTCACTAGGGTCAAAGGAGTCGTTGCTATCGGCGACCATAACGGCCAATGACGAGGCTATGACTATCCTGGAAGAAGTCATCATGTACACTTTCCAGCAGTGTGTCTATTATATTACTAAGGTAATCTGTCACCATGACGATGAAACCAAATTCTCTACAGCAAGACCGTTAATAATAATAATAATAATAATAATTATTATTATTATTATTATTATACATCGCTGGCCTGATTAGGTTATTAGTGGATAATTAGACAAAGTTATTCTCTTGTTGCTCCTTCATCATCACCCCCTTCACACAGCTCGGTGTGTGTGTGTGTGTGTGTGTGTGTGTGTGTGTGTGTGTGTGTGTGTGTGTGTGTGTGTGCACGTGCGTGCGTGCGTGTGTGTCTCCAGGCTCTTTATGTGGTGTTGCCAGGTTTGTTAGACTGTAATCCATTCCCACTCGACAGCTCTGAGCCCTGCTGGAAAGGAGGTGTTGGGTTTCCTGAACCAGTTCGCAGGGTCCTGCAGGTAAGTGTGTGTGTGTGAGAGAGAGAGATGTAATGTGCATTTATTGATAATGAGATCCTTATTGTTACTGTTATATTGCTGTTTTTTTTTTAATAATTGCTTTGAAGAATGAGTTACAGCAACACTTAATTTCCTCTGGGATTATTAGTGTTGTTGACTCTGAACATTAATCTCACTCTAAAAGATATGCCCACCGCTTTTTAGTCTATTTTCTTCCTTTTGTGTTTTACTTAATAAAATTAGCTTTAAATGTTCAGCATTTGTAAAAGCACAAAAAGTAATTATGTATAATAATATTTAATTAACCACCAGATTTAGTAGGCTTGTTTACTCTAGCTGATTAATAAGATGCAGATTATTGAAACATTTGTCTTTTCAAACTACTGTTTCCCTCTGACGTAGGTTTGTCTTCATGGATATATTTTACAAATATAGAGAAAACCTAGATGGCCAAACTGTTTTTAAATGATTTTTAGTAATGAACTTTGTTTTGATCTCAAGTTTAAAAACAGACTTTTTACAGTTTATATGGCTATTTTCTTATTAATAATAATAATGATAATAATAGTAATAGTTGATTAGGTGATTGGCTACAGATGAACCACACTTATTTTGTTATAGTTCAGTGTCATTTACAGAAGTGTTATCTAAATATTTGTGACCAGACCACACCAAGCTGCAGGTGAAGCTTGATGGAAAAGAAACCTAAACAGCAGCAGTCACTGCTGCATCATTAACACTACTCAGAAAAAGCTAAAGTGCTGATGGTCAAGTAAAAAGGATGCACAAGAGCTTCCAGGTCCACCGAGACCCCACTCTGAAACTCATTAGACCCAAAGACAGCAGAGGTCTGGCGTCCGTGTCACTAGTAGTCCAACCCTGTTGTTTCTTTTCAATTGAGGTCCACATAATATTGGACAGGTTGTAATGTTTGTGTGTGTGTGTGTGTGTGTGTGTGTGTGTGTGTGTGTGTGTGTGTGTGTGTGTGTGTGTGTGTGTGTGTGTGTGTGTGTGTGTGTGTGTGTGTGTGTGTGCACGTGCGTGAGTGCAGGTGTTTCAGAGTGCTCAGGAGCTTCTGCAGGGATACCTGGTTCACTCAGAGATCCAGGCTCAGATGTTTGCGTACCTCTTCTTCTTTTCCAATGTGTCACTGTTTAACCAGTTAATGGACAAAGGTTGGTATACACACACACACACAGTCCCACTCTGTTTTCCATTAGACTGGGTTTGTTAGTGTATGTACGTGAGAGAGACAGTGAGCGAGTGAGTGTGCCCTTGAGTCCTTGTCAGCATTTTGATGGGGACTAACCCAGATTTGTCCTCAGTGCCCTTCTCCTATCTGCATTCTGCCCTCGCTCTCCCTTCCTTCTTTCCATCTGGCCATCGGAGGTACAGACGAAGATGTGAAATTGAATGAAGATGAAGGGATGAGTGGAGAAGGGCTGTGGTGACATTGCTAATTGTGTATCACCTGAATACGGAGAGCAGGGATTTAGAGCCAGGAATGTCAACATTTCCAGCTAGTTGTGTGTGTGTGTGTGTGTGTGTGTGTGTGTCTCTCACTCGCTCTCTTTCTCTCTCTCACACACACACACACCCCTAAACATGCCATATGTCTTCATTAGCTGGTGGAGACAAGGTAGATCACGTGTCTGGTAAAGGAAAATCTAAAACACCTTTATATTCATGCAGGAGCTACTCTGTCCTCTGTCATCCACACCTCCCTCTCCCCCACTGTCTGTCTGGCTTTCTCCCACCCTCCCTCCGCTCCCCGTACTGTCGCTCATTGATATTTCTCTGCTGACTGTGTCCATGGAAACAAGGAAGTGAGTTTGTGGCAGGTATAGCTGACGTTTGCACTGGGTGCTTCACGAGGCACACACACACACACACACACACACACACACACACACACACACACACACACACGCGCGCACACACTTACACAGTGTAGCTGAAGGTGAGGAACTTGAAAAGACACAACACGTAGTGATACGGCACAGGAAAGAAGGAAACAGGATTAGGACTGGTTTGATATCTGTGCAGTTCTAGAATGTGATGTCTTGCAGATTTCAGACTGACCACGGTGGACGTCTCTGGGGAGTTGGAGCTGTTATGGTACTTTAATATTTAAATCTGTTTGTAAACAGCTGCCATGAAGAATTATTACCCCTTGACAGGAGGTTATGTGACGTCTCGTCTCTTTAAGATTCCTGAAGCGTAGATTACTGTATGCCTAGACATAAGCCTATTACTGAGGTGTGTGTGTGTGCATCCAGAACATATGGTAGAATATTGTCAGGGGTGTGTGTGTGTGTGAGTGCGCATGTGCATGTGCACAGTCAGCAGATAATGCTCCCAGTTTATAGTCTCCCTGAAGCCTCGTGTGAGGTGTAACTTGGTGACCTTATAGGATGTTTTTGTTTTTTGTTGATTATTTGACCTTTTTATTAAACTAAAAATGGATTGTCGACACAATGTTGACTTGAAACCTAGCTAAAAGGTAAAATAGTTTCTAAACATCAACAACCAGGGTTTCCCCCAGCGCTTTATAAGCCTACCGTGTCCGCTAACATGAACGGCTCAGCGAAACTAGAGCCCTCCATCAGCTGATACTGGTGAGAAACAGCAGCGGAACGTGTGCAACCACCCCACCCCCGCTCTCACAGAGGAGCGCTGCGGGACGGAGCACGCGACCCCCTCCCCCCGGCCGAAGCCGCCAGGCTTAACTTATTTTCTGGGGGAAACCCTGAACGACCTTCATTTTTTAGAAATCGTGGAATGGACACATTATTAGATGTCAAGACTTTACTTCATGTAACCATGAGAAAAATAGATGAGAACAACAATAAACCTCAGACATCCTAGAGCTCATGGTGAAACGTCTGCGTGTGATGATGTGGGAGCCTTATTCTCTGATATTGTTTAGTTTGAGCACCATCCTACTCTCAGACGCCGCTATTAAATAGTTCATTTCTAAAAATGGTACTAGTGAGCCCAACACAAAAAAAACAAAAGTGAAAATAGATGTCCTAATTTGAGCTTTGTCACATCCCGGACAGGTCCCCACATAATTGGTAGAATGAGATTACACAAGCAGGGATGCAAAAGCTGTAGAGGGTTTGCTTTGCTGTCAGCTTAGCTCTTCTGCAGCAGAGCATTTGTATTCTGCAGACACTTGGTGGGTGTTGCTACAGTTTCACTGACTTCAATCACAATGTAATTAAAAATTTAAGGCAGTATTGTTGTACAGAGCAGCACCAAGGCACGGACATATATTTACATAAGCAGGCAATTTGGATTTTAATGTCCCTTCCTTTCAGACACATGGTCAAAAAACTGCCGCAGTGTTTTGGGAGAAATGTTTACAAGACTACCTCTCTCTCTCCCTCTGTGTGTGTGTGTGTGTGTGTGTGTGTGTGTGTGTGTGTGTGTGTGTGTGTGTGTGTGTGTGTGTGTGTGTGTAGGTCCCTCTCGGGGTTGGTTCCAGCGTTCCAAGGCACTGCAGATTCAGGCGTGTCTGCGAATGATCATGGAATGGGCAGTCAAGTCGGGTCTGGGACATCTGGCTGAAAAATTCTTTACTAAACTCAACAGCACTGTGTCCATAGTGGCCACACCCCCTCAGCAGCTCACACAGGTGGACTTGTCCCTCATTAAATACAAGACACAACATTTTATAGTCACTCCTCAACAATCAGGCAGCACTAAGAAAGTCTAAGATTTGACTTGGTTGAAATCATTTTCTTGACTGTTTCTTTTGGTGAACAACTTTTCTGTCTGCAGCTGAGCTGGAGAGTGTTGACCAGTGAATACGTAACTCTGAAACCAGTCCAGCTCCACAGGATTCTCACCCAGTACCAGCTCACAGCAGAGATAGGCCCTGTCCCAGTCTGGCAACCCAGCAGCGAGGATGAGGCGTACATATACAGAACAGGTAATTGTTAGTTTTTTTCATTCATTTCATTTCATTGTTTTTTAAATTGTTAAGCAGTAGCAACACAAAACAGAGTTCCTATGACCCACATCAGGAGATGGAGACCCCCTCGCTAATGCTTCGAGACATTTTAGACTCTTCTGGTGATGCCATTAGGAGTCTGTATCCAACAGCTGCAGCTCAGTGAGATGCTAGCTTTACCTGAATAATAGCCAGTGGCAGCTGGTGAATTTTTAAAATTTTGGTGGGGCGCATTTTAACAGGAGTTGTGCCAAAAAGAGCATGCCTACTGAGATTGTTATGCCCTGTTGTGGGAAAGGCATATCAGTAATGGGTAGGGCTGTGGGTATCTAGCATAGATTTGAATCAGGACTAACATTCAGTTTTTCCCAGAATCATTCTAATTGTTTTATTTCAATTCCTAGTTTCAGTTCCCAGGCTGCCGACCGGAAGAATAGTCCGCGGCTGATCTCCGTGAAAAAATGTGATCTGCAAATTCTGATCAACGCCGTTCAGGGCCAATCACACCAGCTCTCTTTCGCTAGAAGTTTTAAAGAACAAACTCCGGGCGATGTGACGTGAGTTTGGCTCACTGCAGAAATAAAAACACACGCAGCCACTCACCAACACTCGTCTGTGTGAGCATGACCATCAGAAGGCTGAGCAGTAACCTGTAAAATAATTAGTCACCATGCTGGAGCAGCCTTTCTCTGTGGTGGACCACACCGGGCTCTGGCCACTGGGAGTCGATAGGGATAACAAATAAATATAATAATATTATATCTGTTAGATTGTTACTGACAGCAGCGACGTTTCCCTTCTGACTGAATTGCTGCTGCAGCATGTAGGTGTGGGTGTCCGCCTAAACATCCTCCTGATGGCTTTAGAAGAAAACAGCTGGACTTTTCTGGTTATGTTAATGGCAGCGCCACCATGAGGTGTCTACGTATGTGGGTACCAGGTCCACGAGTTTTTCCAGCAACAAAGTTGTTCCACAACATGCTTAGTATTTACCAATATATGCTAACTCAGCAGTAAAACTAGTTTAATGAAGTCAAAAGCATTATTTCAGCCTTATCTTTGCTGATTTATGGTTGTGATAATCTGTGTTATAGTTAACCTGCGGGAGAGTGTTTAGAAGTCTCTGATGCCACATTCCATCATTTTTTTGTTCTCCATAATAACAAAACTCCATGAGATATACTCAGTTGCTCTAAAATGAGCAAAGAATGGGGAGCTAAAAACGGGGAAGAGTTTCTGGTTCCAGGTGAACATCCTGATCTTAGCTGAGGCTCCACGAGGTTTCGGTCACAAACCTCTGCGACCCAAGCCTCTCCCATTCTTTGTGTTGGAGGTGGATCCAGCACGTGCCAGTTATAGCGTAGGTCTATGATTGCTGCGCCAAAAAGGAACAGCAAATGTGTCACAAGATGATTCGGTCACGGTAAAGGTGTGTGAGAACATTTTAAACATTTAAATGTAGATTATTTACAGCACTTATGGTCTGTATGATGTCATCGTTAAGTCTCATTTTCATGTTTTTTTATATTTTGATTCGTTTTTTTTCTTCCTGTGAGACTGGTGAAAATAGCAGGAAAAAAGTGAGATTTAAAATATTAACGTTTAGACTTTATCTCCATCAGAAAATTGTTAAAAAGTAGCTTATTTTACATTTGACAGGATTTTGTCTGTGGAAGCTACCAGACGGACATAGACCTGTAAAGGAGATGTGTGCGTTTGTGTCACCATCAGTTTTGTGTGTCTAGTTGACCTCCTGGAGAGCTTTGAGAACCACCCGCCCATCGTGCTGCCCAGCTCAGGCTTCAGGGTGGACCTGGACAGCGACTGCATAGAGGACAGCATCTACAGGCAGCTGCTCTACGTCCGCCACTACCTGTGGGGGCTACGCACAAAGACACAAACACACACCAACACCCCTGGTGTGCACACACAGTCCAATGGAACCAACACAGCCGACTGGACGGACGTTCAGGTCAGAGGGATTCTCTCACACACACACACACATACGCATGCGGCTGGTGCTAATCTGGGTCATGTGCCTTAGCAGCTGTGGTTGTGGAGGAGTTCTTTATAATCCCATAAATGAAAGACAAACCTTCTACTCTCAGTCAAACCCAGCTTCCACACACACAAACCGAGACACGGTTAAATCATGGTTAATCTGATTAGACTTTAGGCGGTCTAATTAGTAGGAACAGATGACTAGACCATAATCCTCACAGTGCAGTGCCCTAAAATGTACACATGCACCCTAGGAAACAATACATCCATAGAGATGCCAAGTCAAATAGTTTCAGAATAATAAATAAAACATTGACTTAAATCAGATATGTATGTTTTTTATGTATGTGTGTAGACCTGCAGCTTTGTCATTAGTCAAAAAAGGAGGAAAAATTCTTGTCTAAAGTGTTTTCTTTGATGATCCAGAGGGAGATGTTACCTCCAGCCCATAGCAGTCCGCGTTCTGGGGGAACCGGAGACGAGGGGACAGCTGAGGAGCGAGGGAGGGACAGACCTCTGGGCCAATCACAGACACACAGCCTCAGAAGGAACGGCACCATCCACCATCCTCGGACAGCAAACCCAGACCCGTCCTGTCTCCTGACGCCACCCAACACCCCCCTTTATCCAGAGGGTGGAGGAGGGCCCGGCCCGGCCCTCAGCACCAGCATTCAGATTAACGGCTGCTCCAGCAGAACTGTGGCAGAATGTAAAAAGGCCAACGGACTCATCGCTAACGGACTTGAAGGTGGGAGTGGAACAGAGACAGAAAGATGTGAGGCAATTTTTTTAAAGCATAGTTCTTTTCCTTTAATTACATTTTACTTTGCATTAATTTCAAAATAAGTGCAAAAACTGAATGAAATGTGATTAAAAGTCATGACAGTCCCACAGCTCCAGCTTTAAGCTACATGAACAGCACAAAAAAAGGAAAATGAACTAAATCAATAGCACTGCATTAATCTATTTTACACACATATTACTCACTCGTCAAGCTGTGCTAAACTCCTAAAGTTGTTCAGGTTAACATCAGCTCAAGCAGGTTTAAATTTGCACGCTGACATGCATCTGAGCGCACCTCCTGTGTGGTAATACAACTCAAACTACAGCAGTGTGTCGTTTTTGCAGCTTCTACATGAGCTCTCGTCTCACACACACACACACACACACCCTTCAGCGTGGTGCTGCTTTGACATCATTCTGGTTTTTTACCACAGCAGAAGTCAAAAGTTCACCCTCCTACCTGAGTCCTGAGTTTGTTAGCTCAAACTCATGCAAAACTTAACACGTTGCACCCACAGTTGGCCTAATGTGTTGATTTGATGTTGTTTTAAAGTTTGCTCAGGAAAAGCCATGAAAAGAGCTGATGTAGTGCAACTGCTGCAGGTTCTTGTCATGAAGCATGTGTGTTTTATTTTAGCTGCAGCTCTGCATGTCTCGGTGTCAGAGTGTGTGTCCTCTGCAGAGCTAAACACCTTATGTTTGTCCAATCCCATAGCAAAACCCTGTCTGTGTTTGTGTGTTTTGTGCCTTTGGATGTGTGTGTCCTCTGCAGGGTGTAGTAGTGGGTGTGAGTTTCCCTTTCCTGTCTCCTCCCATGGCGCCCCTTCTATTGCTGATGACTTGTGTGTGGTGTTTGTAGTGGAACTGGACAAAGGACCCTACGGACTGGGCATGGGACTCATCGACGGCCTGGTAAGTTCAAATGTAAAATCTCGTCTGATCAATTCTAGGGTCATGGAGTTCAGAATTTTAATGCTTGTTTAAATCATTTTAGAACCAAACCAGGAGCTGCACGTGTAAATTTAATGCACAATCTTGTTTTCTCAAACTTTCCCTGATATAAATGCTTCAACTGATCTCTGAATCAGCCTGCTTGGATGCAGACTTATCTCGTATCAAACGTAAAACCTAGTGTTCACCCAGCCTGTGGTTGTAGACGTTCCACCTCTCACGCCTGTTGGGGTGAGAGGTGGAACGTCCTGGGTGTATGAGTCTACACCAACATGTTAGCTCCTCACCAAGTCTCCCTCTGGCAGCACACTCCTCTTAATGCTCCGGGCATTTACATCCGTACGCTGATCCCAGACGGGCCGGCGGCATCCGACGGCAGACTGAGGATCGGAGACCGTATCCTGGCGGTGAATGGGACAAGTCTGATTGGAGCGGACTACCAGAGGTGAGGAGGATGGGATGGAGCAGCCTTCTCTTGTGTTAACTATTCTCTTGTCAGCTTCTTAAGAGTGATGTGTTGTCCGTCTCTGCTGAGCTTCATGTAACCAGACTCCATCCACCCCCCCCACACACACTTTCTCCTCAGTGCAGTGGACCTGATCCGTCTGGGAGGTGGTCGACTGCGTTTCCTGGTGGCCAAGTCGGATCCGGAAGTCTCAGAGAAGATCAGTGCTTCCTCCTGCTGATCACCTCTGCTGCCCAGGGAAAACGCAAAGCTGCACCCAGATGTGCAGCAGGCGCTGAACCAGGGAGGCGCGTACATCTGTACGTATGCAGCTACACGACGTGAGAGGTGAATGTGACACAGCACAAAGACGAGCAGTGGAACAGGAGGGAATGTTCTGAGACTCCACCCGTTTCCCTCATGCTGACTCCTACTGGACAGGACCTGAAGCCAACCGGAACGTTGACGAGGACGCCACCAGAGTTTTGGCCTATATGCAGTCTGATGCTTAAGCACAGCGATCTCCCCACAGAGTGACTGTTTGTTCCAGCTTCATTTAAAGTTCTTTGGGTTTGTATTTTCAGACGTAAAAAGCATGACGCAATTGAGACTGAAGATTTTCCTAAAAGCTGAATGTTTCCTAAACCCGTTGGTTGGCACCCCCCACAGCCAAGTCCTCCAATCAGACATTAGCTCTCTTTTATGAGGTTATGGATGAAAACGACTGAATCCCTGACGCTGAAATTTTGAGACTTTTTACTCCGGTGATCTTCAGCTGTTTGACAATAATAAATAAATAATAAACTAGTTTCAGACGCCAAGTCCTGACGTGTGGTGACCCGTGTAAATAGTTGTATATATTTACCGTGTCACATCCTTGGAAACAATTATCCTGAACTGTCAGAAAAAACTTAAAAGTATTTTCTGGAATGAGAGGAATGTAACTATTGGTTGTATACTTTTTCCTAAACTGTGTATATATTTCAGCTTTTATACATTCTGCACACTTTGTGCGTCCAAATGACATTGAAAAAAACAGCTTTAGATGGTTTTTCTTTGTTCTCACTGTTCAGGTGCCATCTGCCTCCCTCTTCCAGATTTGTAAAAACGTTTTCTGATTACAGTATTTATACAAAAGTAAAGAGAAATCCACTAAACTTCTTCAGACACTTTTACGTCACTAACAGGTGAAGTGGGCCACCTGGGTTTGGTTTTTACAGACCAAGCTAACAAGTGGAAATTCAATCTGGTGAAAGCTAATTTAAGGATTTTAACTAAAAATGAGCAGAAAGCTGCACATTAGCTGACGGCAGCTAAGGTACCGCTCAGGGATGTTACCTTGGTCTCCACTGAACAGCCTCTGTTTGGAGAAACAGTTTACGTTCTCCAGGGCTGATGAGCTAACGGATCAAGACTCACTAAATCTCAACAAGCTGTTCTTTTGGCTCTTCGATAGGACTGGGCAGTTAATTGAAAATGTCTTGTTATTGAAATTTCTGACTAACCGATACCATTTTAACCGTGTCAATAAATTTGATAAAAAATGGAAAGATGTGTCGTTTGCCGACATTCATCTCTAAGATGATGTCCAGCTTGAGTCACGACTCAACATAATACAATAATGACAGCCCCATCTAGTGGACGTCTTTTACATACGTGTCGTTATCCATGTATCGTTAAATCATCAATATAGCAAGATTTTAGCCCATATTGCCCAGTCCTACTCCTGGACATATTTTAATTATCCTAATAAACACGGTTTCCCCAACATAGGCGTGGCGCTGCCCCCCTAGCCTGGCCAGCCATGCTAGTGCTTCCTTATGGGAAGCAGAGGGCCTGGTGACGCTCTCATTCAAATAACCCCGCCCCCTGAGAATTCTAACTGAGTCAATCAGCTCTGAGCAGCGTCAAACACCACGAAGCTTAGAAGCAAAACGTTGTGTGAGCACCAAAGTTTCTAGGGGACACACTGCAAAGCAGATCGCTGAAAACGGCTCAAGTCACCAAAATGACGGCAAAACATTTTGGTCTTTGCTGCACTAAGACTAGTGGTTAGCTCATCAGTCCTGTAGGGAATAATGCTCTCTGAACAGACTGTTCAGGAGGCAACCAACAAAGATGAAGTGTTGGTTTAAGCTGCGGTAAAGTTTCCTCTGCTTCACGTGGGCTCGCTCCCTCACCCGCCAGGGGCTGATTCATGTTTACAAATCTCTTCTCACCGAATGTTTCCTTTATTTTGACCATTACAGTAGCTCAGATTTCTTAAACGTAACTTTGCTCAGAACGGTTCGAAGTAAACTCTTACATGATGGAACCGTGGAAAGTGTGAAACCAGCAAATATTTGCCAATTTTTCTTGTGATAAACTGAAAATGACCATTGTGTTGTTAGCTTTTAAATACCTGCTGTTATTCTGTTACTTTGCTTACGGGTGACACTTGATCTTGTGCATGTCTATTCTGGTCATTATTTATACTGTTAAGAGTAATGGTACATAAGAGTAAAGTCTGTGGGATACTTGTTTTTTTTTTTCAGTGACTGATTTAAAAGACAAGGCAGCAGTGATGTCAATGAGTTGTTTTAATTTGTGCTACACATTTTAAATCACAAAAACATTAAAAATACATATACCCCTCTTTATTTCCATAATTGTTATGTATTGATGACAGCCATTTTTACACATAGCAAAATATTTTAATCTTTCCAAAAATAAGAAACAAATACCTTTTTGTTATTTAGCAGATAGAGCAGCGTACAATCATTATGCATGGTTCTAATGTTGTGCAACTATGAGTGAAATCCTGTGGCCGAAGCCTGCGAGACGTTCAGAAATGCTAAAGGCAGAGTCAGAACGAGACAGGAGCGGGGAGAAAGTGCTATAGGAGATCTAATCAAAGCCACGTCAGCTCCATGCCTTGGTGGAGACTCCGAAGTCAGACAGGTCACTGAGGAGGAAGTACAAACGTGGAGAGCCAAGAGCGTAGTTTGTGTAAAGTACCGTACAGATAGAAAGCCGTTTGTGGTAGTGAGTTGGTCCCGCCCCTCCCTCAGCATAACTCACCGCTGTAGTGTCGCTGGTCTTGTACTGTTAAAGCGCTATGTTAATCTAAAACTATGAAGCCATCAAAAAGTTCCATAAACAAGAATATTTAAGGCTTTGAGGATTATTACAATAATGCTCGTGTGTGCCGAGACAGATCCACACACACCGGCTGTCCTGCTAGCACAACTAAAACAACCAAACAGAAAAACAATCAGTTTGTCTACATTAGGTTAGCTCCACTTCAGTCAACTCCAAGTAGCTGCCCTCTTTTAACCTTTTTTCTGCACAGCGTTGCTGTTTTTGTTCAGATTAACCTGAATCTGAGGCGCTGAAGTGATTTTAAAAGCCGTTTGTTTTGTTTTTCCTGGATTTCCTAAGATCCATCCTTCAGAAACAAAATGTTTTTTCATGTTTTGCTTTACAGAAAAGGCAAGAGGCGTCTTACATTCTGGTCTTAGCAACGTCCACCTTTTCTGAGACGATTTATTCGGTCTCTTCATTATATCAGGAATACAATCTGGTTGTTAGTGTCTCGGGTTCAGCTCAGACCTGAGTCACATTTCCTTTAAACCAGACAATTATCAGAAAGCAGTGAGGTCATTGGTTTGAGTCGCAGCAAGTCACGCATTTAATGCAATGATGAGGAAAAGATGTCGGTGGAAAATGGGCTGAAGCTGATTTACTTGCTTTTCAAAAGTAAAATATTAGAACAATTAATCTAGTTGTGACCAAAACATTTTAATGATGTATTTCCTGACAGACAGCTGGTGTCGTTTTACAGTCGCATCAATTTTTGTATAAATGATGGAGCACTGAAGCCTTTGGGACCCCTGGTGAGAAGCCCTAAACTTTTATTGCCTGGGATCGTGGCTTTGTGGCGTCATGGTAACGATGACAGGCTGTTGGGAGGGGGTGACTTGATGCTGAGCAGATTCAGTCCCACCCTCGTCCTCCAGCCGCGACCTCTTGGCCTGGGGCTCACCTGGTGGTCTGGGGGAGGAGTCTGCACTGGGCTGCCTGCTCACTAGCACTGGGGGGGAGCTGGAGGCCTGTGCAGCCAAGATCTGCAGAGGACTACTCAGACCTTTAAAAATAAAAAAGGCAAATGTTAAAGACGGTTTGTTGCACAGAACCATTGATGAACAAACACTGCCAAACTTAATCTGCCAGTGGTTAACTCATTCATTGGCATTTTTTTTACTGTGTGGGAGTCAGAACAAGCCCCCGCACCATCAGAACAAACATCTCAGCTCTAAAGCCAATCTCCATCCGCATACGTCACACGTCACGTGATCAGGAAGAAGAACATCCATGTGTTAGGAGATCGTTTTGGGCCGCTGCTGTAAAGAAAGTGAGGCGCGAACCGGAAAAGCTTCTGCCGATCACAATTCAACAACGGATTATGAAAGAACGGAAAACGCTCGAAACGCGTGGACTCTTCCTGATGTAAGAGGTGAGTCTACTCTTTGTTTAGGTAGTTTTGGCGTTGACATCATAGAGCACAACGTTCTGTGACTCTTAAAAAAAATACTGTAAAAGCGTTGGCAGCGAAGGGCTTTTCTGATCAGGAAATGGCTGGCAGTGAAGGAGTTAATAGTTCAGAGCTTTTGAATCCTGACTTAAATTATTATTTTTAATATTGTTTCTGATGAGGACCTGAAAGAAATATCTTACCTGACACATTAACAAAGCTGGTTGCTGTGGAAACCGCAGCAGTGGTAAATTTGCCGTTCTGGGTAATCGGGCGTACAGGAAGTTGGTGTAAACCTGGAGTCAGGTGACGCCCCTCCCCACCCTGCACAGCGCTGTCCACAGTCTGGATCACCAGCTCCCGGTTCAGCTGGGCTTCTGGAGAGAAAAGGCACACTCAGACTCGCATCGGGCTCTGCTCAGACGTCAAAAGACAAGGAGGACTTCTCAGAAAGCCGGCTCTACACTAATGAATGTTTATAGTTCAGATTTACACAATAAGATAATCCATTAGCCACATAGTGACACCAGGAGCTTAGCCATGTTTAGCATCACCTAGAAAATGGACATTTAGAACATGTAGTTTAGGATGGATCCAGCAGATGGCGCTCACCGCTGTAGTCTAAAGAAAGTCAGGTTTGTAGAAGAAACTGATTTTATGCTATTATTTTGACAAAGCGACCTTCTTATTCTGGTTTAGAAGCATAAAATGTTGGTTTGGTAACTTAAGCTAAACTATTAATACACAGAAGAAACAAAAACCTGCAACAACTGAAGATCTGGATTTATTTCAGACCTCAGGTGCTTCTTACTGTACCTCTGATATCGCTGCTGCTCTCCGACCCCCCCACAGTAGGAGTGCTGTACCCGTTTGGCGGATTGGAAGATGAGGGCGTGCTGGTCACCACCCGCACCATGGTAACAGAAGACTGTGGGGCGTTTTGAAGAACATGGATGGGTTGAATTTGGCCACCCCCACCTGGGACTAAAGCTAGAGCTTTTCCCGGTCCAGAGTTCAGAACTGTTGGATGAGGGGGGGCAGCCATGATGACGGGCTGAGCACTGACCGGAGAGCCTGTTAAAAAAATAAACAGACCATAAACATTTTCACCGGCCTGATTTAAGCGTATCTGGTTTATGTGAGCCAGCAGACACTGGTGCTCACCTGGGGCGCTCTGAGAATACCTAAACTCCGGCACAGAAGCCAGTTTGCTAGCCAACTGCTCATGGTGGTCATGAGGGATGGGGGAGCCCTCTCTGCTCAGACTTTCAGGAGTCTGCAGTCCGCTGGACGGTGGAGACAGAAGTCCCTGATGGGTCGGGGATGCAGGAGCGCTCCTACAAGACAAGGTTCAGGAAATAAACTCACTAAGGAACAGAGATCCGACCGCAGAACTTCCTCGTGGCCGGTACCTTCTGCTCTAACCTCCAAACTAGACTTACTTTGTTCTGTCCAATCAAATGAAGGCGGATAGGAGCAGAGAAAGGAGAGAACGTGTTAACCCAGTCACTGTGGGAGACAGGAACAAGTGAGATAGTTGAAGCAATACCTTGAAGACAGAGGTCCAAACGGTGTCCTAAAGCAGGCCACTCCTCTCTGCCGTCTTTTCCTGAAGGCCTGCTCCACCAGCTTGCTCTCAGAGGCAGAGTCGATGCGCCAGAAACTTCCTTTTCCAGGTTCATCCTGAGAGCGGGCCACTTTTAGGAAGTAGCGGTTCAGAGACAGATTGTGTCTGATAGAATTCTGGAGAAAGTAAAAAAACAGAACTACAGCTCTCGGTCATGATTCCAGCTGAAACAGCACCGGGGGCGGGGGGTACCTGCCAGCCCTTGTCTGCAGTGCGATAGTAGGGGTAGTGTTTGGTGATGTGGGCGTAAATGCCACTGAGTGTCAGCTGTTTGTCTGGAGCTGACGAGATGGCCTGGACGATCAGTTGTGCATAGGAATACGGAGGCTTGGACTCATCCTGCAGAAACAAGACACAATCACGTAAACACGCACTTCACCTGCTCGCTTTAACGGTTTGGGGTCAGCGTTTTTACCTTCGGGCTGTCTCCCCCCACCGACTCCACACGGGGCTCACTCCCCCCACCTCTCTGCTCTGCAAGACTTCGCCTCTGCTCGGAAACGGCCTTGGCTGCAAATTCAGCCGCTAGCTGGAGGTCAGAGGTCACATTGCGGCCATAGCGGTACCCTGATGATCCTGCTCCACGTGGACTGGCCGGACAGGAGTTGGGAACACTTTCAAAGAAAGGGGAAAGGCTCAGTATTTGGAAACTGAGGAAGACTTTGGAAGTGGTGTAGCTGGATTGAAGGTCGGGACGATTGTGATATCTTTAGTTTGTACGTGTAAACTCAAACAGGATTATAGATGATCTACAGGTGCTGGCCAGTAAATTAGAATATCATCAAAAGGTTGAAAATATTTCAGTAATTCCATTCAAAACGTGAAACTTGTACATTATATTCATGCAATGCACACAGACCAATGTATTTCCAATGTTCATTACATTTAAATTTGATATTCATAAGTGACAACTAATGAAAACTCCAAATTTGGTATCTCAAAAAATTAGAATATTCTGAAAAGGCTGAATATAGAAGACACCTGCTGCCACTCTAATCAGCTGATTTACTCAAAACACCTGCAAAGGCCTTTAAAAGGTCCCTCAGTCTTGTTTTGAAGGCACCACAATCATGGGGAAGACTTCTGACTTAACAGCTGTCCAAAAGACAATCATTGACACCTTGCACAAGGAGGGCAAGACACAAAAGGTGATTGCTAAAGAAGCTGGCTGTTCGCAGAGCTCTGTGTCCAAGCACATTAACAGACAGGCGAAGGGACGGAAAAAATGTGGTAGAAAAAAGTGTACAAGCTCTAGGGATAACCGCACCCTGCAGAGAATTGTGACGACAAACCCATTCAAAAATGTGGGGGAGATCCACAAAGAGTGGACTGCAGCTGGAGTCAGCGCTTCAAGAACCACCACGAGGAGACTCATGAAAGACATGGGATTCAGGTGTCGCATTCCGTGTGTCAAGCCACTCTTGAACATGAAACAGCGCAAGAAGCGTCTCGCCTGGGCCAAGGACAAAAAGGACTGGACTGATGCTGAGTGGTCCAAAGTTATGTTTTCTGATGAAAGCAAGTTCTGCATTTCCTTTGGAAATCAAGGACCCAGAGTCTGGAGGAAGAGCGGAGAAGCACAGAATCCACGTTGCATGAGGTCCAGTGTAAAGTTTCCACCGTCAGTGATGGTGTGGGGTGCCATGTCATCTGCCGGTGTTGGCCCACTCTGTTTCCTGAGGTCCAGGGTCAATGCAGCCGTCTACCAGGAAGTTTTAGAGCACTTCATGCTTCCTGCTGCTGACCAACTTTATGGGGATGCAGACTTCACCTTTCAACAGGACTTGGCACCTGCACACAGTGCCAAAACCACCAGCACCTGGTTCAAGGACCATGGTATCCCTGTCCTTGATTGGCCAGCAAACTCGCCTGACCTTAACCCCATAGAAAATCTATGGGGTATTGTGAAGCGGAGGATGCAATACGCTAGACCCAACAATGCAGAGGAGCTGAAGACGACTATCAGAGCAACCTGGGCTCTCATAACACCTGAGCAGTGCCACAGACTGATCGAGTCCATGCCACGCCGCATTACTGCAGTTATTGAGGCAAAAGGAGCCCCGACTAAGTATTGAGTGCTATACATGCACATTCTTTTCATGTTCATTCTTTTCAGTTGGCCAACATTAGAGAAACAAACATTTTTTCATTGGCCTTTAGAATATTCTAATTTTCTGAGATACCAGATTTGATGTTTTCATTGGTTGTCACCTATAAATATCAAAATTAAACGTAATAAACATCGGAAATACATTGGTCTGTGTGCATTGCATGAATATAATGTACAAGTTTCACGTTTTGAATGGAATTACTGAAATATTTTCAACCTTTTGATGATATTCTAATTTACTGGCCAGCACCTGTACCAATGATCTCAGATTAGCAATCGGAACCTTTGTGTGTCTTCATTTTGTTTTGGGGGCTTTAATCTTTGGGCACAGGGTGTGTCCATAAGAGGGACTTTAGAAACATATCAGTCCAAATGACCTCCCTTTTCTCCCTCTATGTGCACTTTCCTGCTGTGCACGCACGCACGCACACACACACACACACACACACACACACACACACACACACACACACACACACACACACACACACACACACACACACACACACACACACACACACACACACACACACACACACACACACACACACACACACACACACACACACACACACACACACACACACACACACACACACACACACACTTTCACAAACTGCAGCAGCAGCTTCCCACAAGGCCGCGTGTTTTCAAACACATGCCTTCAAAAGCAAAGTTCTGGTTCTGCAACTGGCTTAATAAAGGGATACCAAGCAGTGCGTTGATCTTTCTAACACTTGAATCCAACAGCTGAAATGTCTCCTCTGCCTTCATTCTTGAGGAGCAGTTCATCAATAAATCAGACAAATCAGCTGTGTTCACGATCTGAAACAAGCAGGAAACGTGCTGGAAGCAGACTACAGTGTCATTCATGTAAACTCCGTTATTTTTTAAAGTCCAACAGGAAGCGGCCCGCCACTCTGAAAATGCAAGTGCGGTATTCTGGCCACAGAGGGTGGGAGGAGTCTGAGTGGCATTTCATTAACCTTGTAAAGGATCATTTTAGCACATACTGGCTCAAGAAAATCACTTAAAGTTATGAAAAAGTTGTAAAGTATCCCTTTAAACTCATCATTTGTTTCCTCCAGTTCACTCCAACACCCTGAAGCTCGTGGAGGTTTCCACCATGAGGAGCACAAGTGTCATTATTGTGTGTGCAAACATAAACATGATATTGCACTAAAGAGTGGCACATCAGCATTATTCAGTTACTGCTGCAGTAAAACAACCAGATCAGGCAGCTCAGTTTTAATAACACACACATGGAGAGTGTTGGCTTTTCGCCAGAAGGACCAGATCACAAATCTAAAGTTGGGTCAACATTTCAACCTGGCCAGATTAATATGAGGGAGACATTTATGATCCAGCAGGGGTTTTAATCATTTGGTTCTAAACAGAGAAGTAATAAATGATTTATTAAAAAACGCTGACACCAAACTATGTAAACAAGAGGCAAGATGTTACATTATTAATCAAACTGACTACAGTGATGAAGCCATCCTGATCCTAGAGTAAAAGCTGCCATTTCACTTCTGAAATGTTCAAAAACAGACAGAAAACTTGTGAAATATTTTAGAAAAACACTGAAGTGAGGCACACAGTTTCAGCTCTTGTACAAACAAATAAAATCTGCAGGATGCATAAAGCATTAGCGAGACCATGATGGATTGATACATCAGGCCGATGTTCCACTTTAGTAGAGCCAATTTAAAGTCAGGCATACCTGTAGGTAGCAAGAAGCTGCTGCTGAATTTTATTTTAATGTATATTTAAATTTTAGAAAAGCACCTGTTTACAGCAGAAATCCAGAGTGGGGCACCATGGATTGCACCTTAAAGCTATTTCCGGAGTATTTCTGTTATCCGATGGCACCAGCTAGTGGCTGACAAGCACATCACACAAAAAATCTGTCGCTCTGTTTTTTAAGATGGCGACTTCATGTTTCTGTTTATAAATGTGCTTCTGTAGCCGACAAACAGAGCTAAAACACATTGTTTTATGAGTATTATTCTCATGTCATGTTGTGTTTTCATATATTTATATTTTAGAGACTTTCTTGTCCGTGAAAAGTTCATCAACTCTGCATCAGCCGAGGTACTTCCTTACATATAAAGCAAGTAAGCGGTAGTCTAACACTATTGGTTAGTTCTGGTCGGCACTCAGTTTCCTATTGCATGGAGCTCTGCGGTGCAGGGGGCGTGCTTAGCAAAAAAAAAAAAGACGTATTGCTTATATTATATCACAGTACATGATGAGATAATCACTTTTATGGATTTCTGACAAATCATACATTATTTCTGAAAGGAGAACTCCGGAAAGCAGCTTTAAGCCCCTCTCCCTACTTCTGTGCTTACAGCTGGAAGCAGCACCTATAGCTGGCCAACAGAGCTAAAACACGTTGTTTTACAGGTACTATTCTCACAACGCCTAGAATGTAGACCATCTTTTGCTGAAGTTAAATAATTTAGATCTACTAGTTGGTCTACCAACGCACCACTGGAAACACTGCAGCCCCAGCCAGAACTGTGGCTGGCAAATAGTGCTCAAACATACTTTGTTAAAGAATTATTTTTTTTTCATAAATCCAAACTGGCATTATCAGCATTAACAGACGTAGAAAGATCAGAGTAGGGCTGCACAGTACATCGCAAATTAGGGCTGGGCGATATATCGATATTTTTAAAATATCGGTATAATTTTGAAACAAGACATAAGACGACTTTATATCTTTGTATCAATTTAACTGGTCAAACTGCTATGCTAGCGATTAGCCGCTATGCTAGGGACATGTCGCTCCGTCTCTAAGCAGCTATTCTCACAAGTTTGCTCAATCTGAGAGCCTCTGGGTGAATGTGCTGCTCGAAACTTTGCATTTGGCGTCCTGGTTTTTAATTATTTGGGGACTTTCAACGCCAACGGAGTTCTGTTTATCCATCCTGCTCGTGCGGAGACGAGCCAAACCCTTCCCCCCCGTGTAATCGGGAAACATCTATGGATAGCCGGAGTGGCCAAATTACCTCAAACGTATTGTAAGGGTAGAATAGTAAACTATAGGGTTAACGTTTTATTTTGAAGGCGAGCTCAGCGGGTGAGAAATGTTGTTCCGTTTTTTTCGCTCTGGTTAGCTATGCTAGTAAATACTCCATTACGAGCGATTCTGTTGAAAAAGTTCAGAGTTTGTAAGGTGTGGATTACAGCGACAGAAGCCCGAAAATCATCCCCATAAAAGAGCAACCAGAGACTGAGTCACTACAGTATAATCGCTGATATGAGTCAATACTGTTAGATTGCAGCCATGTTTGCCCTCATAACTAATAACTCCACTGTGCGTGACCCAGTAGATGCAATTACATCATCATACATCTAGTTTAACGTGATAGATTTTTTTCTCTGGGCAATAAATATACGATATGGGCCACCTCTAGATGACTAATTGTACATTAATTATAATTATATATAAATAAAAAGTGCCTGTGGGACATCTGATACACCTCCAGCTCTCAAGTGTGTGTGTGTGTGTGTGTGTGTGTGTGTGTGTGTGTGTGTGTGTGTGTGTGTGTGTGTGTGTGTGTGTGTGTGTGTGTGTGTGTGTGTGTGTGTGTGTGTGTGTGTGTGCAGACAGCTGTACCAGTGTTTCTAAAGCACAGACTGGTAGAGAATAGTCACTAAGGTTAGAGTTTGACAAGAATCAATACATTTTTATGCATTTAATCTACTGATTTATGTTTATAATTTCTCAAGACAGCTTGAAGTGAGTTAACTTGTAAATATTTTACAGGAGGAAAAATATCGAGATATATATCGTATATCGGAATTCAGCTATAAGTTTTCGTCCATAACCCTAACCCTATCGCAAATGTATCATCATGGCGATATCAGCATGAAATATACGCATAATGCATGGAACAGAAAAAAACGCAATGTGTGGTCAGCTCAGATGTTTGCTACACATAAAGCATTTCATCAATCCAACGGAAGCATGGTCTTTGACAAATCAAATAGAGCTCTTTACGCATTTGGCCAATCAGGTGGATTCTTCTAGGTTAGATACCCCCACCCTAGGCTGACGGCATTTAATTTGGACGGCTAGCAAACACTCGAGTTAGCTTCGTTCTGCTCTTTCTGCAGATTCTGCTTTTACCAGCATTCACCGATTGATTTTTCTTGTTCCTTTTCCTTTTCCCTTTCCTCACATCTTTATCACAATTTTTGCTTTTCGCATTTTTTATATTTTTAGTCATTTTTTAATTTCTTTGTTTTAGTTTTTTTTGTTCTCGCGTCATTTATTTATTTATTGCAAGCCATAACGTTGTTGCAATATTAAATCACTGTTATAGCGGATTGCAGGTTTTCCTACTAATATCATGCAGCCCTAGATCAGCGATCACAATCAGCCTACAAAACCAGAAAAGGTGCATCTCTAATGTTTAATCATTTCCTTAAAACTCTGCAGCTAATCTGAGTGAAATGTAAAATCATCACAAACAGGCAACAATGGGTAAAAAAAAATCTTAAACGTGAGTTAATTATTAACTTTTCTCTGCCGTTGTTGAGACAGAGCCCAGAGGGAACTCAGTAACTCTATACAATGTACACCTGCTTCTGTTAGTAAAGTAAACACTGGTTCCAGCTCGATTCCCTCTGGTCAGGCACAACGAGGAGAGTTTGTAGACCCTCTCTGCTTTTCCCCTTCAATACCTCTTGCATGAGTGCTAACAGAGCAGGAATGTTGTTTTCGGCAGCTCGTTTGAGCAGCCAGACAGGAAAAGTGACTCTTGCCACCATTTGGGGAGTCGACGCTGGCGTTTGGAGAAAAGCTACTGACTTTAACACAACACCCTTTATTTGTATGTGCTGCTTGTTCAGTCAGGTGAGGCCAGAGACCCGTTTTATCTTCCTTAAAAAAACATCTAGAGTAACAGCAAGTGATTTGTAACTTTTTTTGTCTGTTTTGAGTCCATGTGCGGGGGCGGCGCTGTGAAAAGGAAAGCAGGAATGGACGGAAAAATGGCTCACAGGCAAAACAATCTGCCCAATAGCCAATCACACAGCCTGAAGCTGCAGCCACCCCATATAAGGCCTGCACACATGCATGGTGTAATGGCAGAGGCCGTCCACCAGAGGACACAAACAGTAACCCTCACATTTATAGAGCAGAGATTTTCAGATATGCTGTCACAGATCTCTGCAGGTTATCAACTCAGGCTGAATACAGCCGAGCCTGAGTAGAACACACTCACTCAGAGAGGACCTAATCAGGGAAATTAACTTTACTTGTATTTCACACAAGGTAAAGCAATTCAATCCAGTTTATCATGATCCGGGTTGTTTCAAAGCAACAAACCCAAATCACATCAGGATATGTAGCTAATGACAGATATCAGAAACAAACCTTAGCTTTCAAACATGCATCTCAGATTATCCATTTATGTGAAGAATTTATGAAACAAACAATTAACTGGTTTGTTTTAAATGAAATAACGATAATTTTCCCCCTGCTGTCAAGACGTCATTCTGCGCCGCGGCTTACCTGATAGTGCCCGTGGGCGAGGGCAGCGGAGAGCCAAACGCCCTGATGTGCTCCTCGTGTTGCTGCGCTGTGGGAATGCTGATTTTGAGAGGGGAGATGTGAGGCAGAAGGGGGCGAGGGGGAGGAGAGGGCTGCTCCTTCTCTCGCTGCTCCTCAACATCCAGGAGGGACATAAACTGGATCTTGATCACAGTGCTTGGAAAACGGAACACACACCTGGAGAGCAAGCGTGAAGGATCAAAAGGTCAAAGGGCATGAAGAGGCAGGGAGATGTTTATTTACTCTGTTAAACAACGTTAGATTATGAGTGGAACAGATAATTCAGACATGACAGGATAAAGAAATGAACAAACATTTACTATTCTTTTTATGTAGAACATTAAAAGAGTAAGGGTGTATAACAGCAAAGACAGACCCTGTTACAGGAGAAAGTAAAGGCTGCTTTCATGTTCCAACAAAAGGTTTGTTTATGTAAAAAAAAAAACATCGAAGCTCCTTGTTTGAACAACTAAAGAAACTTGATGTTAAGTTTTCTAGTCTACGTGTACTTTAATTGTTTCACTGAAAGCAACAATCCTGTCCCACAGCAGGTCTCTGGAAGTGATCATGTTAGAGGTAAATGTTTTACAGCGCAAATCCTTTCACTGATCACACTTTTGATTTTTCTCATCATTAACAAACAGCCGTGGTGCACCATCACTGCCTTCCTGCAGTATCTTCACAAGTAGCACAAGTGAGATGAGCTAATTCTAGCCCTGCTAAGTGTTACCTAGCAACAGCCTCCAACCTACCTACAAAGAAAACATTTCAGATCAAGATGTAGAGATCCTAAAACATGTTTCCATGCAAAAGGGATGGCTGTGGAGTAGAAGTGGTCTATAGACAAACAGTTCAGTAGATATGGTGAAAGAGACCAAGTCCTCGGCTTAACTCCAGCTAGGGATGGGTACCGAATTCGGTAGTTTTTAAGGTACCGACCGAATTCCACAGTACCGACCGAGCACCGATTCACTTCATTTGAAACGGTGCCTCGTTTCCGTACCCATCCTTCATAACGACAACTTGCCTAGACAGCTGCGCATGCGCAAGAGCGTTATGTCGTCGCTCGCTGCGAGCGAGTTGTAAACAGAGCAGCATGGTAGAAAGAACGCACGCTAAAGCTTGGGTCCACTTCACTAAATGTGATGGGTAACTGGGTGATGATGAAACCAGCGACAACGATCGAAGTGTGACAACCTCATCTTAATCTGCTCCGGTAGGTAAATAAAATGTTTAAGATAACGTTAGCTTGATATGTTAGCTTCCGTTTCGCTAATGGTGCGTTCGCTTTATCCTCGGAACTCCGAATTTCCGACTAGAAGAACATGAACGCGCTCTAAAGTTTGGCTTCACTTTACTAAATGCGACGGGTGATTGGGTGAAGATGAAACCAGTGACAACGATCTAAGTGTGAGGCATCATCGTTTTAATCTGCTCCAGCAGTTAAATAAACTGTTTAAGATAACGTTAGCTTGATATGTTAGCTTCCATTGCCACCATTGTTATCATCTAATGGTGTGTTTGCTTTCTCCTCGGAAATTCTAACTTCCCAGTAGGAAAAAATCAAATGGAAAAAAGACGGCAAAAGAAATGAAGATGCACGGTAAATTTAGTTCACAGTAAAGATGTTTGCTTCAGTTTAATTATCAACTTATAAAACTACAAGGACGATGTTAAAATACAAACAGTTGTATGTTATTTATCGTGATATTTATAAAATATTGTTATATGTTGAGAAAAATATATATTTAATTATAAAAGAGAATTAAAACTATTAAACACTCAAAAGTATCGAAAATTGGTACCGTTAAGCACAGGTATCGATTCGTAGGTAACGGGAATTAGTACCGGATCGATTCAAATGTCAAAGGTTCCCATCCCTAACTCCAGCGGACACGTTGATGCGTTTTACCCGTGACCTCAGCCACGCATATTTTTCCACTAGGAGCATTTCAGACGTGCATCAGTAGCAAATGTGCTCCACCCAATTAGTCCTGCGACATCACAACTTCCCCAGGTAAGATTTCAGTAGTTACACAGTGGTTAGTAGTGGTTAGTAGGGGTGTGCCAATTCACCATTTAATCGATGCACCGCTATGTGACACGTGCCGATTCAAAATAGATTCATGAATATTCATCAACGATTATAAATAAATGCAAAAAACAGAAGCAAAGAATGGCAGAAACAAAAGTTACGTGTGCCGCCCGGACACTTAAGGGGATGGACCAGCGGGAAAAAAACAACACAGCAATGAAGGAACTTTCTTAGTTTTAGGAAAGACGTGAAAAACTAAACTAAAATGCAACAACAATACCAACAATTCAAAAGTACCTTATACGTTTCCATGTCACGCTAGATGAAGAGAAGCCAGTGGTTGTTCCTTCTAACCAGCCAACAACCGAGAAAGCATTAACAAACTTTACCCCAATTCCAGCCAGTTAGGGATTCTGTTTCCAGGCATGTGATTGGGTTAAGTGAAAAAAAAAAAAAACCTGAAAATGGCTGGGGGCAATGCCCCTGTGGGAGAGCCCCCTGATAGCTGGAGTTTTTTCACCAATCATAAGTGTGTTTCTTGGCTCTCTGGGGCAGGTTTTTTTTCCCCAAATGTCCCCACTATTTACTCACTGTAAGCTGCCATTTGCCATCAATAGCCATTCGCGCATGCACAGCGCTGACTTCCTGTCAGTTTCCTCTATGAGCGTCGCCATTTTAAACGTCATCACGCATGCGCCTAGAGACCTGTACCTCTCCCTACTAAGTTGTTTTCTAGCAAACAGTCAGGGAACACACAGGCGGTCTTTTTTTTTAATTGATCATGTCCTGGGGCAGAAATCCCATTGTGCGTGTGTGTGTGTGTGTGTGTGTGTGTGTGTGTGTGTGTGTGTGTGTGTGTGTGAACAGTAAAATTTCGGAGTGTAGTTTTTGAGTGGGACATGAAAACAATGGCTGTCTCCTCATGTCTCCATCATGAGCAAGTTCACTGAGAAACCAGCCAATCAGAGGTGAGATGTCAGAATATCAGGAATTAATACAGAGTAAAACTCCAAATCTTGCCATTTTCTGCTCCCCTCTCCCCCAACTAACTTCTGGTTCTGACCAGAGCTTTTCCCCACAGAGATCCACTCACAAGGCCTTCTAGACAGATGAGACATATAGAGTCCACTGTAGATGTGTTGGAAAAAAGAGCAACAAGTGAACTTGGTCTACCACAACCTCTCTGAAACCTTTTCACTTTAAAGAGAGAGAACACCATCTAAAAATAAAATGTCAAAATAAAATTTTACTAAGTCACATGATGTGGAAGATATTAAAAATAGACAAATTATTTTAAAACACTATTAATAATGGAAATAACGTGTACAATCTAAGAGAACAAATCCAGGGTGACCAAGTTATATAAATGCAAAGCTGTTGATTTATTTTCAGTTAGTGACCAGCTGTGATCAGCAGCAACACCAACAGATGATTAGACCTGCTGCATCAGTGTCACAGCCTGGTGAAACATTAGAAACTAGGGTGAACATATGTCATAATTACCACCTAAAACTAACTTCAGGGTAGTTTCATTAGGTTTTTCGTGGCGATGATGTAGATTTTTCCAAAATCAAAACTTCTGGGATATTTTTCTTTTAAATCATTCTATGAAGTTAACTTTAATCTGCTGCTCATCATAAATGTTAACTCATTCACTGCCAGTGACAACTAAAGTCGTCATTTTAAATCCAACCGTTCACTGCCAATGACGACTAAAGTAATTTTTTTACTGTGTGGGCATCGGAATGAGCCCCCGCACCGTGAGAACAAACATCTCAGCTGTAAAGCTCCAGTCAGTAACAAGATGGCGCCTGTGCTTGGCTTAGCCGCAGTCACCGGCCACTTTTTCAAACTTTTCTCCACTAACCTCCTCTTTTCCACCTAGCTCCTGTCTGCGATCCTCTTCGGTATTGTCCCTGCTACCATCTCCTATGAACGCCAGACTCTTTTGTCCTTCGGTTCATTCACGATTGCCCAAGATGCACTGAGGACGTACCTCCCTGTTTATTTATCTGAGTGGCGCACTGGCCCGGAGCCAAACGACGATTCTAACCAGGGCGCCTCCAGCGATGTTTATCTGGTCCCGGGAAAACATCGGAGGAAAAGAGGTAAACTAGCAGGAATCCAGGTAAGAATAAGACTTCTCATAAAGAGTGGTTTATCTACTAAACATCGGCGTGATCTTCTAGCTTCTTATCCTTTGTTTGGCGACTTGAGCGCCACTTCCGCATTCCCGCCAGGCCGTATTGCGGCGCTGTTTCTCCATCCAAGTTTTTTAAAGTTGGTTTATCCTCATTCCTCAGTGGTTTCTCCTCCTGTTCCCTCCATAAGTGGTTTTTATGAACACCGTGGATCTAACCCTGCTAATTTACGTCCACTAACTCCAGCTGTTTCTGTAGTTTCTGATTCCTCCGCCTCACTCAGCATGGCCTTATTGAACACTCGCTCTGTTAACAATAAGTCCTTCCTGCTCAATGATCTAATTATCTCTAAAAGCCTGGATTTTCTGTTTCTGACTGAAGTTTGGCAGCAAACATCTGATTATTCTGGTCTGATTGAACTCTGCCAGAGTGGTTATTCTTTTCTTAGCCAGCCCCGAGGTTCTGGTCGTGGTGGAGGCCTAGCGGTTGTTTTCAGAGACCATCTTCCATGTGGCTCTACAACCTCTGGTCACTTTGCTTCCTTTGAACTGCAGCTGATTAAAGTCGGGCGTAAGGACCCGTTCTACAATGCTGTGGTCTATCGTCCACCTGGTCCAAACAGTTCTTTCCTTCAGGAGTTTAGTGACTTTCTATCCTCCACTGTGAAGCTGTCCAGACTGGTGATTGTTGGTGATTTTAACATCCACGATGATGATCCCTCTGATCACTTTGCCATGAATTTCTCCAGCCTCATGGACTCCTTCAGCTTTACCCAGCATGTTTCTGGCCCCACACACACCAGGGGGCACACTCTAGACCTTGTTTTTACCCTGAGTCTAAATGCTGAGAGTGTTTGTCCTGAGGACGTTTATATTTCAGATCACCATTGCATTTTCTTTAACTTGTCAGGTTCTGCATCCCCACCTCCTGCTCGCCGTATGGTTAGTTCTCGTTTTCTTAATGAGAGCACAGCTAGCAATTTTTCTGCTGCTTTTGATCCA